TATCTATCGTTTAGAGGGTAAAGAGTTACTTAATTAGTAACGCCCTTACTTAGAACCGGCTAGCCGCTAAATAGCATTAAATTAATAATAATATAAATAACAATTACTTACTTAAGAAGGCCGGAATAAAGATAATACGGACCTCCGTACTAAATAGAGCTAATCGGAAGCGTTCCCTATTAGTTACCGGTAACTAACTACCCTCTAACCAACTATAACTAACAGGCTATTAAAAGCTAACCACACCAACCATTAACCAACTAACTAACCACTACTAACCAAGTTAACTATACTAACAAGTACACTGGCCCGGCCTCCGATCTCGGATGGCGCCGCGGCACGTCCATCCAGATCTGGACTGAATTTCAAAGTAACCGTGTCGCTGACGACTGATGGATGACTGATGACAGAGCCCGTCCATGGATGGCTTCCACTTCACTTGATGAGTCTTGCTAAAGATTGACCGCCGCTACAAGTCAAGCTTAGGCCGCACTAACACAGGTGATCCACCTTGTCTGCATCATGCCTTCTCTCGGCATCGATGGGTTTGAATATCCTCTCAACGACAACAGCATTCGCAAGACCATCGTAAAGCAGCAGCGACACAGACTCTCCCTTCGAACCCTTCACGCCATCTCTCGTTGGAGACGAGCGTAAAGATTCCGGCCGCCAACTCTACGTTGCGTGAAGACACACAGCAGTGCGGTCCTACGAATCGGAATTGTAATTCTACGCGTTGTTCACATGCCGTACCAGCCGACCGCCGGCCCTCGTGACCATGATGATGATGATGATGCTGCTGCTGCTGTCGTTGCTGTTGTTTCTGCGAGCTTCGAACTCGAACTTCGGAGCTATTTAAACAGCTAATATGGCTACTCTCAGGTCCCACGGCGCTGGCGATGGTAATGCTGTCCTACTAAGGCGGGGAGAGCATGTTTGACGTCCTCGAGACTAAGAGACGTCTCTGCTACCAGGCGGTGGCCAGGGGGTCACATTTGCGTGAAGAGACAGGGCGGTATGGCATGCCTCCCGCAAAGGGAAATACTTCGGCGATGTTATCGAGACTCGATCCGACCGGGATCGTTGTTAGTGATGGTGGAGATCGCTGGACTGGTCGTGGTTGAAACTCTCGAGTCGTCTTCTGTCACCGACGTTGCGCTGTCTTGATCGCAGCCTCTTCAACCYGCGTCGTTCACGCAGGCTAGTAATAGCCYCTCGCAGGTCATTTCCTCGGCTCCTGCTTACGTCCAACAGGACGATAAACTTCAACGGATCGCGCGCGCTCCAGTGTAGTGGTGGTGGTGGTGATGGTTGACATCTGTCGTTGTTGTTGTTGTTGTTATTCTTCGCTCCGAATTCAAACTTCGAAACTATTTAAGCAGCGACAATCGCCGCTCCCTATTCCCAATCTGATCGTGGTAGTAGTATCGTCCTGCTTGTATACAGAGCGCCCATTCAACGTATTCGAGAGCCGCGCCTACAGCTGTAGGCGGATGATGTCCTGCTGTCTAGCGYGAAACAAAGGTTTTGTGTAGGTGAATGACGCGGCGCTGTTGCGTGCTTCTCGCAAGGACTAAGCAGCTCGGCGATACCCTCGAGCCGACGGGGATCCAAGAATTGATGTTAATGTCGATGATGTTGCTAGTGGTCTGAAGTGAGCTTCATCGGCTCGGATGGATTTTGATCAGGACTCCTATTGCAATCCAATCCAATCCAATTCAATTCATTCACGCGTAAGGATTAATGGGAATCTCCCCGCAGAGCGAGACCCTCGAGAACTTCTTGTAGTTCTTCTTCTCTTTGATGACGACGACGTTATTCTCACTTCTCGGGCTCGTCCACGATGATAAGTGGATCTTCCAGGGAGGAGCCGGACGGGTGTGGCACGCCGCCAATTTGGGCGTGGTACGCTTGGAGAGCTTCGGCAGCGGAAACACTGCTGTCGATTAGCATTGCACATGTTGCATATCTGGGAGTGGCGATGGGAGTCGTACACGTTAAGTTTTGGCTCCCACGTCTTCTCCTCGTCACCAACGTAGCCGAGCCACTTGACGCGATATTCAATCTCACCCTTCACGGTCCTGTGGCCGAAAATCTTCTCCACCTCGTAGTAGTCTTCCTCCTCGTCCTCGTCTTCTGCGGGAGTGGTGTTTGGCTTGCTGGCGGGGATCTCGACGGCYACGTCACTGTCGGATTTCTTGGCGTTGGCCATTGCAGCTACAGACGCGCTGATTCCGCACAATGCGCGCCAATAATGCGTGCGACTCAGGAGGTATTCTGTCTTCAGCGCGCCGTTTGATCACTGCCACGCTCTCGACCACTAAAAAGGCGCTCTAAGGCGTTTCTTTTGCGTGAAGACAACTAATGGGCGTTGCAAGATGCATCTCGCAAGGAATAAGGTAATCCGTCGAAATTCCCCCACGGATCCAAGCGACGAGCATATGATGGTGGTGGTGGTGGTGGTGGTGGCAGCGGAGGGAGCGGCGACGAAGCCGCCGTTGATGTAGCCGAGTACTCCGAAACCGAACTTTTCCAACTATTTAAGCAGCTCCAATGAGCGGCTCTCTCATCTTGATAGGATTTAGATACCAATGCCGTCCCGTTTGTGCGCGGAGTGTATGTTGAATGCCCGTGTTCTTGAGCCACACATTCCTTGCCCAGGCGTTCTTCAGCTTGTAAACACTGCGAGACATCCGTCTCCACGCAAGAAGGGAAGGCCGGCTTTCCATAATCTCCTGCAGGAGAAGGAAGCGCAAGCAGTCATTTCTCAAGGAGATCTTCCTCGACATTACTTGCTTGCGAGTAGAAGGCTCTTGGTGCTTGATGCCTATCTTCCCCAAGAATCGACAAGGGTGATCGGTTAGGATATTCGAGGGGTTTCAACAGTATGATCTTCTCCGTCGAGAGCAGTGCACTTCAAAGGAGACTATGGAGAGAGGTGATGCCAGCATCGCCAGTACCAAATACAAGCCTCCAAATGCACACTCGTTAGGTGGAGACCTTGCACATCAATTACCTCTTGAGAAGTATTTCGCATTTACTGGCGTGGAGGAGGGGGTCTTTACGTATGATCGGATGGGGCGAAGGGTGTTTGTTTCAATTCGTCGCTGTCGGGAGGAGAATATGCTGCTCCGAAGATTCAGCCAAGGTCTCTCGGAGGGTGTTGTATAGGTATATACAATGATATACAGCGCCACAAGATGTCATCATCTCGGGCGGGCAGCTTGCGGCTTCTGTGCCATTGCCGTGTTCGTGTTGACCTCTCTCTTACATCCAAGAGGTGGGCATTGTGAGCCGGTCCGGCAATACATCATCCCTGCAGCAGGTGGGCGGGAGACCAGCGGTTTCCTGCTCTTCCTCCCGAATTCTGTCGGTATGTGATACGATACCCACGGGGTATCATGTGCATGTCTCCCTCTGCTAGCATCCATCATCCGTCATCCCCTCTATCCCCGTGATCTCTCCTGTTTGGGATAGACATGTTTCTTCTTCGGCAGCTCTTCCACCCCCTCATCGTCCTCTTCCAACAAAGCCTCAAACTTCTGCACCATGGCCTCCAATGCCTCCTCCCCACCCTCCCTAAACCGTGTGACCTTTTGCACATTATGGGCCGTCATATCATTGATCCTCATCTCCGTCTCGCCCCTCTCCTCGGCCTTTGCACGTAGATTCGCAATGGTCTTTGCTGTAAGGGCCATGCGCATATCCTTCGGTCCATCCACCAATTCTAAAATGGCCGAGGGTGCTTGATCCTCCTTGGCGGGTTCGATGCGGAGGACGCGGGTGTAGCCACCGGGTCGGGATGCGTATCGTGTGGCAAGGTCGCCGAAAACTTTGCTCAATGCTACGCCGCCGTTGGTCTGGGAGGGAAGGGATTAATAGGTGGGGATGGATGATAGAGGGGAGGACAGGACTCTTACAAAGATCATACCCTGGGCTTTTTGTCGACTGGCCTCGGTGTTCTTCTTGCCCATGGTGATGAGTTTCTCGGCCCAGCGCTGGGCTTCCTTGGCTTTGGGCCATGTCGTTTGGATGGATTCGTGTTCGATGAGCGAGGTGACGAGATTGCGGAGGAGGGCACGTCGATGGGCCGAATCACGCGACAGATGGCGGTATTTGACCGCTCCGCCGGCCATGTTGAGAAGATTAATGTGGTTGACAGATGGGATGGAATTGGAGATGGAATTGAGAGGTGAAGTGAGGCGACGGAAAGTCGGTCCCAATGCCGAACTGATCGACCATGTCCGTCCAGCACAACCCTGGAGCTCATGTCCTGGAGCTATTCCAACATCACCACAACAACCTACGACGAACATGGGCTTCACCACGGGCTTGGTATGTATGATCCATCAATCGGACGAGGAGAATAACTCACATTGACATTCCATCCAGCTCGGCGGCTTCACGCTAACAGCCACCCTACTCTACCTCTCCGCCTCCCTGCACACGCGCAATCGCAGCTACCAATCCGTCCTATTGCGCCAACAATCCCACCTCCTCAACAACATTGTCGAGCCCCAACCCGCTCTCCCCCCACCTACAGCACGGGTTATCGACGCGGGACTCTGGGAGACGGCTAAGGATCGGTGGAATGCGGAATTGGAGGGAAATGTGCGGAAAGTGCAGGAAATGGATTGGAGAGGGGTCGGTGAGAGGGTGGAGGAGGGCGTGAGCAGGATATGGAGGAGGGCGTATGATAAGACCAAGGAGGTGGTGGATAAGTCGCCGTGAGAGACGAGATGAGACGATATGATACCCGGGGAGAAGAGCTATGCGAAGCGAAGATACAGGATGGAAGGGTGCATTAGGCCAAGGAGCAGGTCAGTATTCCAGATTAAATGGACCTACCTCATTGTGGATTGTCTTTCCTTGTCGGCTGAGAGGCAAGATGCATTCCATCGCTGCTCACCGTTACCGCCGACTCGGCAAGAAAGGCATGGCCAGTGACCTCAATCCCAACGTCCTTCCCGCCCGAGAGAGTGTGTGTTGCGGTGGGTACTACCTTAGGCCCATAGTGAAGTCCGTTTCAATGCCGTCAAACCGACGCGGGGATTCAGCTACGGAGCGAGAAACTTATCGGATCCCTCCTTCACCTCCGCCTTGAGAACGTAGGTGAGATGTCGTTCATCAGCCAGGCCAAGTCGTGGCAGGACGCGTCTGGCGGTGGACCTACTCCTATCAAAGTGCGGGACAAGTATGCCCATCCCACTCTGCTCAGGTATCTTATGGGATTCCAAGCCAACAGCTCCATTGCCCGGAATGTGTCCCAGCAGGCTACAGATACTACCTTACCCATGGGGAACAACAACAATGGTACATCTAGCAACTAACCCTACCTACTACGCTTGGGTCTCGCCGAGCTCATGGAAGTACCTCATGGATGGATGCTTGTCGCTCACATACCATCGCAATTCCACCAGCTACCTTATCTGGGGTACATGACATTCTCTTCCATGTCTTTCTTTGCTGGGCATGTCTTTCATCAATGAGGATGGAATGCGTTCTCGTCCCCGACCATGACAAAGGCAGACGAGTAAATGTTGTTGATGTTTCCTGCCATGGCAAACCTGGCCATCCATAAAACCTCCCCTCCGTTCTTCCGCCCTCCTCATATCTGCCATATCCATGGCAAAAGAGTCAATGGCACCTGCCCCATCATCGGGTCGTTCTTCCACTGCACCTCGGTACGCCTTCCCCTTCCCTCCCCACATACAACAGACTTACCAATTGGAAGACACTGACCTGACCTGACCATGTATCAGAAGGACCCGCAAGCCATCCAAATTCCTCACTTGCCCCAACGAAATCTTCGATCAAACCTTCGAATACCTATTCGTCGACATGACGGAGGAAATCCGGCGGTCTCATCTCCTCAAGAAACACATCCTCACTCGTCCCCACAACAGCGTCAATCTCGGCCGCACGCCCGCCTTCATGATGGTTTGCACCAAGTTGCGCAAGCATTGCATGCCCATCTTTCTCGCCCGTGTCGATATCGTCGTCGATGTTTCGCCGAGGAAGTTGGCGCAACCTGCAGGCTACAACCGCTGTATCAACACCCTCTCTCGTCTGGGAGTGGAGAATGTGCGGCGCATCAAGAGCCTCACCATTGTCAACAACAAGCCGGGCTACCCTTTCCAAAAGGTCGACCTGGACTTTTCCAACCTAATCGACATTTGGAATACATTCATCCCTTCCCTGCTTCGGTGCGGCATTCAAGCTCAGCAGTTCCGCTGGCCAGGACTTTGCCCGCTCATGGAGCAACTCAGAAATCCGCCTTGGGAGAGGTGGGAAGAACAGGTCAGAGATCAGACAAAGGAGGGACCAGCAAATTTCAACTATCAAGTCCTCCAACTCGCAATCATCTACCTGGGCATCGTGGAACCAACTCTCCAAGAATTCAACTGTCTGTGTCCTCAGCACCCCCTAGCGAATGTCCTTCAGCAAGCCTTGGATCTGGAGTTATTCGACAAATATGACAAGGACGCCAACGTCGGCATCGTCGCACGAAAGTGGAAAATCTTGAACAACAAACGCTGGGAGATGAAGTATGGAGTTACCGCGTCGGAGCATCACTTCGAGGACTTGACTCGCGGGCCGGGGAAGCAGAGTTATGCTTTGGGGCAGACGAGGGACGCGTATCGGGATTGGAATCATGGGTGGCATGCATGGAAGCCAAAAAATGCCCACGWGGATTGTGTATTGATGTAGTTGATTGGAGAAGCACTTTCGATACGATAGATAGAGCCTTGTGAGATGAAAGTTGACTCGTGAGGTTGAAACGTCTGATTTTAGAAATGATTTCCTTCTCGTGTTCTTATCTATTCCTGAGAATCAAATAAGCTGTAGGTGGTGAACGTACCGAAGAGCTTTTCGAAAGATCCGCCAGCCAGCTAGAGTACTCTAACATGACCAGCACAAGCAGCAGTCACACATCCTCCTCCTCGGAGATGTATGGCAAGCAGCATGGAGAAGAGAMAAAGAAAGTGACCAAGTCGCCATCCCATCTCCTCTTCTAGCTTCCCTTCAATCCAAAAGCAAGTGAGCTACATCCATCTCGCGCCGGACTTGTCGCATCAAATAGCACGACTTGGCCTGCAAGCAAGCAAGCAAGCAAGCAGATAAGGTATATCTTCCTTCACCGCGTCCTCGACATCCCGACTCTCTTTTGCCTCAAAAACAACCCAGCGTCTCAACTATAGAAAATCACATTGTTGAATAGATGGATTCTGCCGTCAAATTTCATCAGTAACTATTCATCGCGCCATGAGCTCTTCTTCATGTCTTGTTCAGAGCGGCGATAGGGGAGTTTCGATGGGTGGACGGACGGACGGACGGACGGACGGGCGGAATTGTAGCCTGGGGTTTACTAGATATTTCTGAATTGAATTGAACTGAATCGAACTGAAGGGATGATATAGAAGGGGAGGTTCGGCATATACTACTACTACGGTGGTATATGGTATGTGGTTCAATGATAAGAGCGCTGTTTTGTGTAATTTCCTGCTGCTTTGATATGATATGCTTTGTACAGTATACCCGTCGACTCTCCTCTAAACAATTGAAATCCCTCCCACCCTTCCCTCCCCACATTGAGCTAATCTTTGTGAGCTTGGTTCTCGAGGCCGTTCTTTTTGTAGAGCTACCGAGATCAACAACCTCCCTTCCTTCAATCCTTTCCTTCCTGTTGTTGGGTTGTAGTGGGCGTGGTTCTCGAGGCCGTTCGTCGTGGAACTACCGAGATCGACAAGCTTCCTTCCTCCTATCCTTTCCTTGCTGTTGTTTGTTAGGATGTTGTGGGCGTGGTTCTCAGGCCGTTCGTTGTAGAACTACCGAGATCAACAAGCTCCCTTCCTCCAATCCTTTCCTCCTTGTCCTGTTGTTAGAGTATAGTGGGCGTGGTTCTCTAGGCCGTTCGTTAGAACTACCGAGATCTACAAGCTCCTTCCTCCAATCCTTTCCTTTTTGTTGTTAGGCTGTAGTGGGCGTGGTTCTCGAGGCCGTTCTTGTTAAAGAACTACCGAGATCAACAAGCTCCATCATCCCGTCTTCCCTTGCATTCCTCCAGTATGCGCATAACTGCTGTGCAGCGGGGAGATTCAAAATCTCAACCCATAGCAGCAGCAGTAGCAGCAATCCTGGCTTCCTTTCCTCCATTGTCTTCTTGTTTGTTGGTAAGGAACGCTTGGGGAGTTTCCAGAATCGGCTCTTCGGCGGGGAGATGGAGATCTCGACCTATCGCGTCAGGCGTCTTGTTGTTGTTGTTTTTTGTTGTTTTTGGTGGGTGGTGGTGTGTTTGTGAGTATAGCTGCGTCTTCTTCCAGATCTGCTCTGCGGTGGGGATATCTCTATCGCTTTCCACAGTAGCAGTCTGGTGGTGATGTTGATGTTCTGTCGGCTTCTTCTCCTCAGCGGCGCTCTCGCTCCCCAAAATCACAGCATCCCGACTTCCCTTGCCTACCGTCTTTGTTCTGATGGGGCGCTGGGGTCGTACGGGGGAGGAGCGCGCTTGTTAGATACTCCAAAGGTACCTGGTTTTGCGCTGGGCGCCCAATTGGTGGCTGGTGCGGATGTAGCACCAGGCTGTGATGATTGAGCACTATTGACGGTGCTCTGGGGGACAGGAGCGGGCTTGCTCGACAGTCCAAAGGTCCCTGGTTTCACGCTGGGTGCCCAATTGGTGGCCGGCGTGGGTGTAGCACCAAATTGTGGCGATTGGGCATTATTGGCGGTATTTTGAGGAGCAGGCGCGCGCTGGCTCGATACTCCAAATGTTCCCGGCTTCGCCTGGGACGTGCTGAGGCTGGTGGTAGACGCGGCCCCCTGGGAACTAGGACTCGTGACAGAGACGTTGCTCACCGGGGAGAAAAGGCCTGGGTTCGGCGGCGTCATTTGGCTCGAGAAGGGTTGCGCGGCGGCTGGTGCCTTCGTGTGTGCAGTATGGCCTGCTGCTGCTGGAGCGCCAGTATTCGCGCCAGCTGGCCGAGTCGACGACGGAGAGCTGCCAGCGGCGCTCATCGACGCCGACGACGTAACCTGCGCCAAGGCCGACGGACGCTTCGGCGTGAAGATATCAGGCTTCGCACGGGCAGGGAACAGTTTCTGCGCACCTGGCGGTCTGCCGTCAGCCCGCTGGACGGGATTTGGCGCAGTGGGAGCATTCTTCGGGGCGTTCGCCGGAGGCATTGCGGCCGACTGCGCGGCCATTTTCTCCTTGAAACCACCAGTGCCTTGTGGCACAGGGTTCGATGGCGCTGCAGGGTGGCCAGTCGTAGCTTGGACGGGATTGTTTGTGCCAGCTACCGGCGAGGGCGACGGATCGTCACCCATGGTGACATCATCCTGTGATGCTTGCGGAGGCGCAAACCTCGACGCAGCAAGGCCTTGGATGCGAATTCCCTGGGAGGATGGTGGGAGCTGCGCGCTCATGTTGGACGGTGGGAACTGTGTTCCCCTTGCGGACGGCGTCGGTGAGCTCATCCAGGACCCCGACGAGTCCTGAGCATCCACCATCTCCACCTCGGGAGAATGTGGAGGGGTCAATGGAGTCTGATCGTACTCCATTGGCGTGGTGCCCGCGGACCATGTTGCTCCCGCGCGGAAAGAGCTTGCAGAAGTCGAGGGAGTCTGGGTGTACGCCGTAGGCGGCGTGGTGGCCTTGGGCTGTCGTGTTTCTTCCTCAGCCTGTGATATCTCTGCGCGCAGAGACTTGACCTCGGCCTCAAGCGAGATCACGCTGCCCTTGTGGCCCGCCATGAGTTGTCGCAGGTACCGAATGTGCGCGACTCTGTTATCGTCCCTGAGCCGCGCCTCGAACACGAGTGCATCGCGTTGTGCGTTGAGTTGGGATGTGCGCTTTCGTTGCGCCGCGCACAGCCTCTTCGCGGCAATTCCGGTGCGGAGCACAGTGTTCTCTGAGGCCAGTTTGCTGTTGGCACTCAGGAGGGCGGCGATCTATCCGGCGTGGTCAGCTAGATTCTGTGCGAGGTCGAGGTGGAAGCATACCTTTCTATCCTTGACCGCCGTCTGCTTGGCGCGCCAGATCATCTCGCGCGTCTTGCGAATCGTCTCCGCTTCGGTGAGCTTCTCGTCGCTCAGCTGGTATTCCGCCTCGTACAGCGAGACGGCGTAGGTGCTGCCACCTTCCGAGTGGCTCAACTTCTGTCGTTTGCGTTGCCCGCCGGTGGTGAGTTGTGACTGATCATCGAAATCAGTCGGCGCCTTGCGGCGGAGGAGAGCAGTGTGTCCGGCCATTGCGTTGCTGGATGCTTGATGGGCGGGTTGTGTTGTTGGTTTGATTTCTTGGAACTAGGGTTGCAAGAAGGAAGCTTTCAAACGATGTTTCGAGGAGAATGAATGGCAGTTCGTTTCTCGTTTTGTTGTGCGGGCGAAAGTACGCTAGCTGGTGCTAGCGGGAGGGGGGGTGACCGCGGGAGAGATGCAAACGACGGCACCCTTGCAGTCAATCAACTAACCATCTATCGAGTGTTGACTCGAACCGCTATCTCCAGGTCTAGGTACGTTTCCCTGCGACGAGAACCCCTGAGCGAAGCGTATCGAGCGAGAGCAATGTCCCAACGGTGGAATGGATGGCACCAAGGTCGACGAGTCGCACACTCGAAGCGCTTGGAGCGTGTGCTATCCATAGCAAGAAGCCTTGCAGTGGTAGAACACCAGCCAATGATGGAGCATGGCCGCATATATGTGGATGCCTCAATGGAAGCAACTAGAAACAGAAAAAAGCGATACACGAGAGACGCGGGCGTGTTGTCGCCTGATATAACTAACAAGAGATCTTCGAGTTATAGACACTGGATATCTTGCGGAGAGGTAGAATGAAAGAGAGAATGATTAATGGCATCCTCAGTACTACCGTTTGTTCAGCGCCGCAGGACAAAGAAAAGGAGGACATACAAAAGCTGTCGCGTCTATTGATGCCTTGCAACAAGGTAGAGACTGCTATGGCGCTGACGGCGAGCTGGTCCGCGAGTGACAGACGGACGACATCAAGAACAAGAACGAACATACCTCCTCGATTCCTCGCCTCATCTCCTTCTGCTCCTTGCCAGCTCCATCTGCATCCCACCGCCGGGACTGCATACCTCAATCCTGCTTCAACCTCTTTTACTTCTCTCAGAACAGACCGTATGTTCCTCTCAGTACACTGCTTYCAAGCCGACGCCGACCTTCATGACTCGCACCGCGGCGTACGCCACAAACGACACCATGTAGCAAACTCCAGTAAACGTAGCGACGCCCCAGTACGCTCCATCACAAGCTTCGATCAATGCTCCAGCGATTGGAATACCAGTCAAGGTCCCGATCGCAACCATGGTGTAGCAAGTGGCGTAGTACCTCCCATACTCCTCAGTATCGCAGAGCATACCGACACAAACAGGCGTCAGGCTGATATTACTCCCAGAACCGAATCCGAAGAGGATGCAAAAGGTGACCAGCAAGCCGAAGATCGTGTTGTTGTTCGCCTCGTGGTCTGCTCGACTAGAGAGCACGGCTGCCGGGAGCCACAGTCCCAAGACGGATAGCATGCAGATGATCAGAGCGGCAAGCATACAATTGTAGCGACCAATCTTGTCGGCAAAGTAGCCCGGCAGCCATCTACCTAGCACGGAGAATGCGTTGAGGATCGCAATGATCTGATAGGCAAAGGTCGTGCTGACGGCTCCATTGGTGCTGAGAGCATAGGCTGTGACGTACGAGATGGGCGCAAATAATCCCCATTCCATGAAGAAAGATCCGACTGTGACCAGCGCAAAGTCCTTGTATCTAAAGATGCGAAAATCGGGAAGAATTGACTGTCCCGGCTTCGGCGGCAGTCGGGATCGCACAAGCAGGTTCGAGACGATGAGCAGGCCAAGAAATATGAAGCCTTGAATGCCTGTTGGTAATGGTTGGTTAGCAAAGCGGTTCTGATGAGAAGGAGCATGATACTCACGAGTGGCCCATCCAAATCCGACTCCGCGGTCAAAAAGGCTCTGCAGCATCAACGGGAAGATGACACCGCCCACTGCTCCTCCGGCTGCCGCCATTCCAGTCGCTGTGCCTCTTTTAACATAGAAGAAGTGTCCTATGGCAGAGATTGTAGGGGTGAAGATGAGCGACGTGCCCGTGCCACCAAGGATGCCAAAAACGATGACAAAGTGCCAATACTGGGTGCAGACACCCAGCAGGAATATACACAACATTAGGAGGACCGTGCCGCCAGCCAGGAGCCAACGAGGGCCGTACACATCAAAGACAGGTCCTACGATGAGTCCTCCGCCGAAGGAGAGAAACACGTAAATGGAGATTACCCATCCGATCGTTGACTCGCTCTTGTCTGAAAGCTGATTTTCCTGCCAGTACGCTGCTGCATGTGAGTGCTTTTCCTACTACGAGGCATTGTTCTGCACGACTGACCTTGATAGACTCCAATTGTGTTCATCAAGCCAAGTGCGGCTACGAGACCACAGAAAGACCCAAAGACGACGAGCCAGGCACGGAGCCCGCCTTCTGGATAAATGGTACCATCAGGAGCAACGCTCACGCGGGACTTGGTATGGCTGAGTTGGGCATCTCCACCGTCGACATTGTTGGAGTCGATGGTATCCGACAGTGAGTGGCGTTCTTCATTCTTGACGTGAGACACTTCATGGATTCCAGCCTGACCCGATGGTAATTCCTGGGACGTGGACTCCGGTGAATCGGAAGGACGCCATGGCTCCGTTTTGAGAGCCGTGGAGGGGTGTTCAGTGGTTACGGAAGAGCCGCTGCTTGAAGTATATAATCCTGGCGTGCTGCCTTTGGCCCCGAATTTCATACGCTGCTGCTTGTTTGTAGCGGACGAATGATATTTCCTGGATTCGTTTCACCCAATGTGCATGGAGGTCGATACAAGGACTGGGAAAGAAAATCTTTTCCGGGGCAAATGAATGGCTTAAAGATGGGGACCCCCACTGCCATTTTTACGCCATTTTACGACGGGATGAGTAATAGTTTGACGCCCTTTCGCATTCCATCGCCGCTTTGGTGGGGTTGTGGCCGATGCCCGCCGACGGCATCTTGATCTTCTTGGCAGAACGGCTTGGGCAAATTCAACAACAATAGCCGCAAGGTTTCCCGATGATGAGCAGCACGAGAGATACTGTCCTGGGAGTGCGGTATTGTATGAGGTGAGGTCGCATGGGAAAAGTATAAGCGCAACCTGGCATCTCTAGGAAGGGACGGCAGATTCCGAGCCGAACACGACGGGAAAGCATCAACAACGACGATCTTTCGCGCATCGTTGCCTCTCTTCAACACTATCACTGCATTGGTGGGCGAGGTGAAGGAAAAGGACAATGCGACGACCCATCTGTTGCATTCAAGGTCTAGACTCAAGTGTGTTGAACCACTTTTCTCACCCCACAAAATGATTGACTTCGGTCAGTGCTCTCCTCTTCATCTTTCTCCTCTCAATCTCTTTTCTCTCTCCTCCTCCTCGTCCTCCTCCCCTCTTCTCCATGTCCTGCTGCGTCCGGGATAGTTGTTGGACTATTCAGAAGTCAGCAGGGACCCTCACCACAGCACGAAAAGCCGTGTGTTGCTCGTGTTTTGCTTGCATTCACGCTCAGCATTAACACGAGCAGGTGCTCCCTTACTTGACATATTGGCTCGTCGAGCATAGCTACCTCTAAGCCCCTCATTGGAACACCCCCGAGGTCTGCAATACTGAACAGCGGGCTCTCGCTACTCATATTGCAATGAGACACCTAGTCCGTTCATCTCGATGGATGTGGAAGCAAGAGCCTGCTGAACTGTATAGAGGTCCTCGGGGGTGTTCCAATGAGGGGCCTAAAGGCGGCCATGCTACACTAGCCAATGCGACCTGACAGTGGAGCCTACATTCGATGTTAGCCCGCACAAAGGATGGGTACGCTACCTGAGGTGTAGCAGCATCAGATGCCGACGAAATCCATAGCTTCTCTGACGACTGATATCTGCTCTCCGGAATCACGATAGATCGCGCCAAATATCGCCTCAAGTCCAGTGGCCAGAGTCTTGCGACTCACTCTTCCGAGCTGCCCAGGGTGGAGGATCAAGTAGCGATCAAGGCCGAGCGTCTCTGCGACATCTGCCAAGTTCTCATTCCGGAGTCTGGTCTGGACTTGGGAAGAGCATTCACCTGAGCAACGGATCAGTGACTCGTGGGTATGATAGAGGATCGCACGGGTGGCAGCGTACCCCTTGGAGCTCCAGTAGGGTACCACGCCGAGATGATGGTGCTCTCGAGAGCCTTGTCGCCAACCATAGCCAAGCGTTTGTTGGCTTCGGTAGAGTAAATCCTGCACAATCCGGTCGTATCGATTGCCTCATGCACAAGGGCTGCGTCCTGGATACTGTATCCAAACGACTCGGTGATGAAGGCCTGAGCTTGTTGCACTTTAGCGGAGGCGGCCATGTTGATGTGAGGTTGGTGAGTGAGAGTGCTGTGAACAAGAAGCGGTGCGGAACTGGCTCTTAAGTGCCCTCACGTGCGTCGTGCAACATACAGCCCCAGTTACGACATGTACTTGTTACGATGCCCTTGCTTGCCAATTGGGAACATCCCGGTGGTGCGCTCAGTTTCTTCCCGGAAACCCTCTGACGGACTTCCATCATAATGTTCCTTTCCACCAAACCTGTTTGCCCTTTGGCGGTAAAAGGTTGAACGTATCCAGCTGCTACACGACTGATTACGGATGTGAGTAGGTATACGGGAGTTTTTCGTAATAGATGATGGCTATCAAGATACTGATGAGATCGCCCACTTTCACAATTTGCTGCAGCTGGAGTCGGTTCGATGTTGCTGCTCTGCTACCCCAACCCTAACACTTCAGCAAGACAAGCTGCGAATTTGTCATCACGCTAGTAGCCGGTCGCGCCTTCCATGTGTTTCAAACTCGCCGCTGCTTCCTCCCCAAATCACCACCGCCGGCGACGAGAGCATCGAATGCCTCAACCAACGGCTGTGCGACAGACGCCGAAGAGCTACTTGACCACATACATGCCTCCGGCTCGTATGTGGCTCGACCAAGCTTCGACGCGTGGACCCACGAGAACGACACATCCAGCGACTGCAGCACTCGACGTGCCTGAGTCAAAGGCTGTGTGAGGAAACATCAAAAGAGCCAGTCCATTGCCCACGCAGTGCGACAGCTTCGAAGGTGTCAAAGGCTTGCGACTACAGCACAATGCTGAGTCAACGGCCGCAAGAAACACCCAAGGGCTACTCGACCGTCGCCCTGCATCTCGCTCGGCAGCGGTTCGAGCAAGCTTTGAAGTGACAACAGCTTCCAGCAAAGGCACCAAACGAGCTAGCCCACTGCTCACGCAGTGCGATAGCTTCGAAGGCGTTAAAGGCTTGCGACTACAGCGCAGAGATGTGCTTGAGTCAACGGCCGCAAGGAACACTGAAGACCCACTCGAGTGTCGCCCTGCCCTGCATCGCGCTCGGCAGCGGTTCGATCAAGCTTCGAAGTGACAACAGCTTCCAGCAAAGGCACGAAATGGACACGATACGGCTTTCTTTTTCCCAAGAGATACGCTGCATCAACCCCAGCCCGAGCGCGGATAAACGAGAGAAGCCGAGAAGGTGTGCGTCAAGCGCGGAGAATACAGCCACGTCCCATCCGCTGCGAAACGTCACCGACTCGGAGAGAACACGCGACGGTCTCGCGGCATACAGCAGGGTCATGGTTACTATGATGTCTGATTGTATGCTACGAGCTTGAACGTTGCGCTTGACCATTGCCTTGCTTCTCGCTCGGCTTTGGGAGCAAGATGTCTGGCATTGTATGTGCAATGCCGAGAGAGAGATCMACAATCACATATTGAATGTGGAAAGAACATGCTGGCCGTGTTTGATTTGTTGAAGAGGTGTCTCAGATTGTCGTCAGCACGCGATGGCACTTGCCAGCGCGGACGGACGGCCGATCAAGAGAATGAATGCTGTGTGTCTGCGATGATCATTGAGGAGATAACAGTGTCTCTGAACGGAAGTCAAGGGCGCCAGCAACAGAGAGATCTCAAAGGCGGATCATCCGTTGGAGGGAGTGCACGCCAGAGCATTCTAGTGTCTAGAATGTCTATGTCGTGGATCGCATGGTGGGATTATCCTCTATAAGTCGTGCCGCATACAAATAAGTCGGCCATCAGCATTTGGGCTTGATGCCTGGACCTGAAGGCCATGGAATGTTCATCCATGTTGGGGTGAGGTTCGTAGAGATGGAAGCTAGGTAAGGTACCTACCTTCAATTGAAGCATGATGCGGGGGTAAGAACCGTTGGACCGCGTGTGATCGGGGACTGTTCGCGTACCATTCATTCCTCGCGTGTCATGATCGTTAGGTGATGGATGCATATCGTCAATGTGGTGAAGGCCTGGATACATTATTGGATGTACATTTGTCGCATGTGAAGCGAGTGTCTGTGCTAGAAGTCGCGGTACCCATGAGTTTTGACGAGTCGGTAGAAGAAACACGGAGTTTTGGAGTTAGCGGAAAGTTACTTGCTCGTTCCTTCTTCGAGTAAACAATAGACGAAGTTACAAACTCGACCGCCATTTATCATCACCACGGTGGCCCTACCGCATCGCGTGTGTTCTGACGTCCTCTCCTAATATTCTCCCGACACGCCCGAAATGTCACAATCATCAGAAGCACCTGAGACGGCGCGCGTCACACGATCATCGGCAAACCCTCRAAGACGAACACGAACCAGCGAGAACGACACCCTCAAGACGTCTGCACCGAGGAGGAAACGTAGCAAGATCAGCCAGGAACAGTTCCAGCCACGCGTAAGCACCGAGCACGTCGACGCGATTGCCGAAGAGGAAGCTTCCCCACAAGCAAATGGATTCCACCATCATCAGCGTCATGTATCCAACACTACCGAGATGGATGTTGTGGTGCGCGGGAAGAAGCCAGCGACAAAGCGGGCGATGCGTGGGGATGGCGCGACAGTTTTGACAGCGAACAAATGCTACAGCGCAAAGCTATTGCCCAGCACGCCCAAGGAGTTGCGCCAGGAAGGCGTAGAGTATCGCGGTAGTCTGGATCGGAATGGGCGTGCGCTTGCGGTGACGCGGGAGAAGGCAATCATCTGGGAATATCACGCGCATACCGCCAGCACTCCACGGGTATTTGACGTCCCTTTCTCAGTCAAGGCGAGGGAAGAGCTTCCCTTTGCCGCACTGGTACCAAGCGGCGGCGTCAGCTCTACTGATGCTGGCCTGGTGATGATCTCGGCTACAACAGGCAAGATTGTGTACTACGAATCCATCGACCGTGAGGCATTCATTGGCCGGTTTCAGGAGAAGAACAACAGTGTGGATGGCACGCTAGGTTTGTACTCGGGAGAGAGAGTGGTTGATCTGGTTTCCGCAGAGCACGCTGGTTTCGTCGTGTTGTTGGACTCTGGCAGAACCGCACAGCTCGCCCTGCGAGACGCGCAAGGCAAGCCAAAAATCACAGTCAACTTCTTACGCGTCACAGAGCCAGCGTCGGGAAGTTTCTTTGGCAGTTTCAAGGGACTACTGACCAGCGACTACAAGAAGGATGTCTCCGCGGTGCATACTCGTGCGCTCAAGGCTCGAGGTCAAATGCAAGCTGTATCGTTGACTGAAGGTGGAGAGGTTCTTACATGGGAGCTGGACTGGACCGGGCGATCAGAATATCAAGCCACTGCGCAAATTCGCGAAAAACTTGTTGCCGAACTCAGACTGCTGGAAATTCCAGAGCTGGAGGGCAGATTGGAAAATCTGGCTGCTCTAGACTTTGCCATCTTGGAGAAACCAATCGCTGGAGATGGACTAGAGCTTGCCCTRGTCCGTGGCGAAACTCACCAACCACTACATCTCCTGGTTCTCCTGCGTGTCGGCGGAAAGAGTATGCACAGCTACGCCGTAGCAGCACTCACTCTTTCGGGCCCTGAAGTTGCTGTGCACCACATCAAATACGTTTCAAAATATCACGGTCGACCACAGAGGAGGCCGAAGTTGATTGTGCCCAAGCCGGAGCACAGCGTTTTTGTGGTGTTCGAGGATGCTACAGTACTCTTCGCGACACGCGAGCCGATCGTCGACAGCCCAGAAGCACAGCTCGTCTCGTCCTACGTCCAGCCAGAGCCATTTGAAGAGGCCATCTTTCTTCGACAGGGCAGAGACCTCTCCACCCAAGATGTTGCAGCTGAGGTACACAGAGGAGGCAGTCAAGCGTCGTGTGTTTCCTTCGTCAGGAGCGCCGGCTTGGTGAGATATTCCTGTGTCGACGTCAACTCCCTGCCGGAAGGCCCCAAGCTGTCCGCGAAATGCCAAATCGAAGAGGCTGTGTTCTATGGCACAATGCAGCAGGACAACATCCTCGACTTTTCAATCGCCGGCCAGGAAAGACATTCTCTGCAGGATGTGGAAGATGCTGCGTTGCAGATTAGCGATGAGATTCTGCGCGCCGATACTGCTCCACAGTACACCTCGTTTATCTCGCATTCTCCCCCATCTATGGAACAAGGTCTTGCTGCCAAGGTTCGAGCACTGAGAGCTTTGGCAGGCTATCTTCGACGATCTTACCCATCTTTATCAAGAAGCACCATGTGGCGGCTCATGTGGGACGCTGAGCGCGCTGCCGCCGGCCAGCAGCTGTGGACCACCTTCGAGGAGCACGTTGCGGCGACCGGCGGAGGGAAGCGGAGTGCCACCTTGCTCGACGAAGTCTGCCTTTGGTTTCAAGAAGAACCATTCATGGATCGTCCTGAACTCTCCAACGAGGATGCAGTTCGGAAGTTTTTTATTGGTGGCTTACACCGTGTCGAGCAGTTACTGACGCACGTGAAGGTATTCACAAATAACATGAAGACTGGCGACCAGCAGAACCCCGACAAGATTCTAAAGCTTGCAAACCAGGTTAATGACGTGTGGTGCAGAGGCTTGGATGCTGCATTCGCGTTCCGCGGCGAGAATGCTGCCGACTACGGCATTTTGCTAGACCCTCTATCCGACGGCATTCTCACTGATCCTGTGGAGTACCAAGACCTTCCCGAATTCTGGACGAGCACCGACAAGCTCATCAATTATACGACACAGATCGCGGAGCTGTCTCGTGAATTTGCTTCAAACTACTTTGGGACGAACAATTTGGATGTTAATGGCGATGCTCTCGCGGCGGAACTTGCGCATGCAAATTCCGAACTTGCGAAGTTGTTGTGTCTTCAAACCCAAGAGGCTGTCAACTGGCGGAAATCGCGTCCGGGGCAGCAGGATCAAGCTTATGCGGCCGCGCTTCAAAAGAGATACTCCGATCTTCGGTATGAGGCGCTTCGWAGCCTTGCCGGCGTCGGTCAAGCGGCTGCTGGCATGGAACTGGCCGAGAAGTGGCGGGACATGAGAACGTTGACGGATATGGTTATCGCGGAGGAACAGTATCTCGTCGATTGTGCCGGGAATACCGCCCTGGGATCTGTCGAGCGCGAGAAGGCCAAGCAAGGCTTGCAAGGTCTCAAAGCGCAGATTCAATCGTATTTTGACAAATTTGGAGAAGTTTGGTCAGAGCCTTTCTTTGAGCGCATGTTCAGAGAGGGTTCGATCGGAGCGAAGCTGGAAAGCGCGCAGAAGGAATGGCCTGCTGCTCTCAAGACCTGGTTGAGAAAGGCTGAATGGAGAGGAAAGCTGTGCTGGATCAACGATGTCGTTGCCGGATCCGACTTTGGTCATGCTGGAGCGGTATTGCGGCGGGAGGGAGGGAAGGAGGAAGAAGTATGGGCAAAGAAGGTCGAGCTGAGTCTCGGTCGACTTGCGATGCTTGCGGCGGAGGAAGACGATCAGGAGCTTGCCCGAGGCGGCGCTGTGCAGGCTGTCGCTACCAGCGATCCCATCGCTCAAGCGCTACGCATCATTGACATTCAAGGACGCATCGACGCGCACATACTATCAACACGCATCGGAAGCTTGGACAGGGATGCGGAGACCTTGAATGTTATGAACCGATACTCAACGCATCTGGATGCTGGCTTGGAGGTTCACCATACCTTGCTGGAAAATGGACTCAATGCGGTTATCGACCACCGAGTTCTGACCATTGAGCAATTGGTGGAGGTTTTGACACTCATTGACTTGAGTGACAGCAGCAGGCCGGAGGGTATTCCTGAAGGTGGCAACTTTCTTCTCGCTCTACAGGCAGTCGACGCTGCCGTCGCTACGGGTTTGAGTGAGGAGCGAGCTGAAGTATTGCGAGCTTTGGTCTGGAAGCGGATGTACATTTACGACGACTGGAATTCCCTTGGTCGCAAGATGGGCAGGAAAAAGGTTGATGCCGATCGACTTGAGATGTTACGCGACACGGCTCTCTGGTATACTCTCCAACGCGGATTCGACGTGGATTTCTTCAATGGCGATGGGCGCGGCTTTGCTCTTCCTTCCGAGGTTCTCGGGGTTGGTTGCAAGGAGACTGACTACAAACATCGCAAGGATCTTGGGGCTGAGATGCTCGGAGAACTGGTGAGGGAAGAGAAGGTCATGGATGAGATACTGGTTGGTCTGGTAGGCGACTGCGGGCTTGAGGGTTTGGTTGCAGAGTGTATGCGAGGTGTTGACAGAGATCGATTGGCGCAGAAGGCCGAGATGAATGGGAATGGAAATGGGAATGGGAAGCGTCATGCGAACGGTCATGCAAATGGACATGCCAACGGCCATGCGAACGGCTTCACAGAGGGGCAGGAGGATGATGATATGTTTTAGCGAGATACGAAGGATCAGGGTCGCACAGTTCCACACCCATTACAGCGAGCGCAATTCTCGGAGATATTTCCTCTTAACCGACCACCGGCTGTTGATTGTACAGATTGAATTGAGTTGATCATGACGATTCCTTGAGTAACATACAAGCCTGCTGACAATTCGACATGCCGTCTTGGCCGGTCTTCTGTCGCTAAATAGGCTGTACGGCAACCAACGGCGATATCGCTACCATCTCCTCGCACGCTCCCACAGCATTTATAACGCTTCGAAGTCGCTGGAAGAGCGGCACGTTCCGATATGTGGTCACGCACACAATTTAGCTGATGTGGGCAGCCGACGAAGGCCCAGAGAAAAACTTTCAGAGTCGCACCGATTTCGCCGACGATGGCCAGCAATTTCTGCCCTCACCGACTCCCGGAGAACGATTCAGCATGACATGATGCCCTTCTACTGCCAATACGGGACGGCTTTGAGGTCTTTCCCATTAAAGCGGCAATTGACGGAGACATTCCATTATAGTCACCATCCACGAGAATAAATCGGCTTCTCACAGTGGACCACCTCGTGGTTGTCGTCCCCCTGGACGGGCCCCAGCGCTCGAAACCCCGACCCCCCGGTCCCCGTGGGTCTTTTCAACCTTGCTCCACAGCGTCAGTCCGGCCAGTCCCCATGGAGAATGGCAGTGGACCTTTTTCTCGATGGCATGATGGCACGAGCTTGCCTCGTGGTCGCATCGATAGCGGGACGGACCCACGCGGCGAATGAACAAATATATAATGACCAGAGCCAGCCCGGCCTGCATCGTGAGGTCAAGTTACCTTTTTCCCTGCTTCTCTTGGCCATTGTCTTGTTTCTGCTTGGCGAACGACGATCAACATCCGCCAAGATGCTGCTTCCCCGTCGCACCGGTAAGCAGTTGGAGCTTATGCAGACGCTTTTGATCGCTCTGCCTTCCTTCATCMTGTTTGGATACAATCAGTCGGGAGTAGGAGGATTGCTTTCTATTGAGAACTGGGTCAAGACTTTCCCCGAGATTGACACTCTACACACCACCGGAGCACAAAAGCAGACGAATAGCACTATTCAGGTAAGCATTATTTATCTTGGCGATCGCCTTAGATMTGGGACGATGCTGACGACTTTCTCACAAGGGTACGGTTGTCGCTACTTGCACACTCGGGGCTTTATTTGGTTCTTTAGCTTGTGCGTCCATCGGTGACATTCTTGGACGACGAAAGACTGTATTTCTGGCTGCTGTCTTGACCTTTATCGGCGAGGTTCTGGAGTGCACGAGCTTTGGACTGGCACAATTCGTCGTTGGTCGTTTCATCACTGGTCTGGGTGTCGGAGCTCTGAGCACAACTGTGCCCGTCTGGCAGTCAGAGTGCTCGAGAGCAATCAACCGTGGACAGCATGTCGTTATTGATGGCCTCTTCATTACTGTGGGATATGTTTTGCAGGCGTGGATAAACCTTGGCTTCTTCCAGTAAGCGAACTCATATGCGTGGACGACACCACATGTTTCTAATGCCCGATATAGGATCAAGACCGGATCGCTCTCATGGCGAATGCCTTTGGTCATCCCAGCAATCATCTCCCTGATACTTATTGCGTCCGTCTATCTGGTTCCTGAATCACCTCGCTGGCTTGCATCAAAGGGTCGTATGGAGAACGCTCGCCAGAACTTGTCGACACTACGGGATGCTCCAGTCGACAGTTTCGAAATCTCGTCCGAGATAGGTGCCATTGAAGTCACACTGGAGGCCACCAAAAGTGCCGCTCGGAAACGGGATCTGTTCAAAATGGGCGAAGACAAAGTTTTCTACCGCTTCGCTCTCTGCCTTATCCTGCAATTCTTCCAGCAATGGTGCGGTAGCAACCTCATCTCCTCTTACAGCACTACCATTTTCGAACAAGGCCTGAGTCTGGACAAGGAGACTGCAAGAATCCTCTCCGGGGCTTGCCTGACCTGGAAATTCCTCAGCTCGTTCGTTGCGTTTTTCACCATCGATCGCTTTGGACGCAGGAAGCTGTTCATCTTCAGTGGATTCGGCATGTCGATGTGCATGACTGCACTGGCCATCACCAACAGCTTCCCCAAAGAGAACAAGTCGGCACAGATCGGCTCCGTGTTCTTCGTCTTCTTCTTCAACTTCTTCGTTCCGATTGGATTTCTGGGATGCAACTATCTCTACGTGACAGAGGTTGCTCCAACCAGATTACGAATGCCCATGACAAGTTTCTCAACTGCCAACCACTGGCTATGGAACTTCGCCGTCCTCATGATCACGCCCGTGGCGATTGAGAGTCTCGGATACCAGTACTACATCCTCTACGCAGTGCTTGGCGGCTGTATTCCACTCCTCGTCTTCTTCCTGTACCCCGAGACAATGGGAAGATCACTCGATGATATGGAGCGGCTGTTCAGAGACCACGATTCTATTGCTGGCGTCGTGAAGGCTTCGCTTACGCCGCAGGATCCTGAGATTGCTCGACTGGCTGAGGTCGCTGCGAGGAAGGAATACGACAATAAAGCGTTTGATGATTCGGTGCAGATCGAGAAGCGGGTTTGATGATGATGATGATGATGTATTAGATGTAGATGAATATGATTACGGCCATTACTCCTTCCGTCTTCTGTCCGTCGTCGTAGTATCGATGTGAGGACAGCCAGGGAGATGCAGTTTCCGTCTGCTCTGGTTTGGAATGTTTGTGAAGCCTCCTATTTGCTATGCTTTGAAGCACACTTGTACCAGTCGATGGGTGCTGTGAATCGCTGCATTGCCATCTCTCGATGAGAAATCGAGGCCTTGCATTGCTACCAGAGCCGCGATACTTTCTGACGTTGTCTCGTCAAATAGCAGTAGGAATTTGACCGTGTTTGATCTATAGTCAATGAGGCGGGTTCTGGGCAGAGTTCCGGATGGCTGGTATTTGAGGGACATTCCCACCCTTTGAATCCCAGCCTTGTCGTCCATAAGCCATGACTTGTCGAAATGATCTAAACACGTCCTTCTGCCTTCACGACAGCTTTGTGGCATTTGTGTTTCCATCGAGCGAGAAGAGAAATTTCCAGCTGGACCTTGTGGTATTGATGAAAGTATGCGCAGTCTACCGACCTTCATTGGCACAAGAGCTGTCGGGTGGATTGTGACGAGCGCCACCGCCACTGATGGGTTTATATTCGACATACAGACAGCGGCTGAAGCAAACTTGCTGAGGAGTGACCTCAGAAGAGCTCAATGTAGGCTACACTGTAGAGCTGTCGTGCTGCCGAGAGGATCATCGTATTGACCACTTTGTCGACACCTCAGAAACTTGCTGTTGGTATGGCGATCTCTCAATGATTTGACGACTCTCAATGTTCGATGACGTCCGCCAACGAGTGATTCTGGTAACAGAAACAACTCGAGGCGTTCCGGGACTCTGCCGTAGATGAGCACTTCGTCGCATCACCGATTGACCCATTGAATAACTCTTGTGTGCCTCCTATTCGGATCGACCAGGAAACAACAGAAGTCTATTCGGCACCCACGAATCTCGAAGAACGTGTTTGGATATGTTCTGTTCCTGTTCCCGCTTCATACATGCATCTCGGCGTTGGCAAGATGTATGATGCGGAAATTGCAGAGTCCACCTTCCTCATTCACTCACCATGTCCAATCTTACTACTTACCATGAACGCGCGTTCGTCATCAGTGCGCCGATTCCGCTCCGCTGCCTGGATACATCCATTACTTCTCTTCCACCTTCTTCCACCTTCCATCATCCATCGTCCTCCATCACGCCGGACATCATGAACATCATGGTTTCCCAGCCGCAGCCCGACACGGAGCTCACCATCCAAATCAAAGCACTCCTCAACGGCTTCCGACGCTCAAAGGATCAACCCAAACTGTCGCTCGAAGAGTTGTCAGTCGCCATCATTACGATCCATCCAGAGTTGACACTCCTCGAACTTCAACGCCACATCCTCAAGGCCTTCAAGTACTACAACGACGCCGCGGTTGAGGGCTCCATCACGCGCGGCTATCAAGGCTCCTGGATCATCTCCCAGTTCAACAGCACATTTGCGACTCTTCTACGTCGCTTCGACCTGCCATTTGAGGTCTTTCAAGGTAAGAACGAGGATGACGAGGACGGGGATGAACTTTTCGTTGGCCCTGCCGCTGCACAGATCTTCCTTCAAAAGCACCTTCCCTCCCCCGCTGTTGATACTAACAAGGGCCCATTCCCGTTTCTGAAACTACCGGCAGAGCTGCGGCTGCAAATCTATGGCTTTTGCCTTGGGCTTCCCAAGAGTGGGGTGTCCGTTCGCCAGGCCAATCGACACAGTCCGGCGAAGGAAGTTGTCGTGCGCACCAAGAACTTCGACGAGGAGATGCACCTTCCCGATTGGGAGACCGACACCAGCCCCACAGGCGTGCGCGCGCGGTGGGATAACTTCGCATTTCGCAATCGCCACGATGGGTCTCTTACCTGCCCAGTGCTCCGCACACATCTCGTAAGTAAAGCGAATGGCGAAATGAAGCGTATGGGATGTCGTTGGAAACCGAAATGGTCTTGCAAGGCGCTAAGTTGGTCGACGTTGCTGACTTCCACCCTTAACTTTCAGGCACTGCTCCGCGTCAACAAAGAGATCTTCAACGAAGCCATGCCAGTCTTCTACAGCATCAATTCGTTTGTATGTACGGACCTCTTCCACCTCGACATCTTCCTTGCCACTCTGGCGCCAGAGAGGAGGGAGCAGCTGAAACACATTTCCTTCTTCTACACCAAGGCCACTTACGCCAAGGCCGCGAAGGCGTTCAAGATGCTTGGCGAGATTGAGAAGCTGAAGCGGCTGGATATTATGATTGACGAGGAGGACTTTGTTGGGTTGACCAACTCAAAGGGCGTGCGCATGTTCCCAGATGTGCTGAAGTTGCCAGGATTCCACACGCTCCGGTCCATGCGTGCGGTGAAGACTGTGCAGTTTCATGGAGAATGCGACACGATCCGAGATGCGCTGCAGAGTTGGGTTGTCGACAATGAGGCCAAGGCTGCGCAGCCAAAGAAGATGAAGAAGAAGACGACGAAGCCGAAGAAGAAGAAGAATAGGAAGGCAGTGAAGAGTGCCAAGAGGGTTGCTCCAGTTGTTGTTGTTGTTGAAGAAGAAGAGGATGAGGAGGATGAGGAGGATGAAGAGGAGGACTCCCTGTTCGGCGTCACCACGGCTGATTCGAGCGAAGCTGGCGAGGATCTCACCACCGAGATGGAGGAGGCGCAAGATCTGTTCCAGGAAACCGCCTCGGCCTCTCCATTCTACTCGGGGTACTACTCCGGTGCTCCATCGCCCGAGTTCGGCGAATCGACCACCACCGGTACGAAACTGCAGAGTCCATTCGAGTTCCAGTCAGGATCGCACATGGCCAATCGCTTCCAAATGCAGATTCCATCTGCTGATCCAACCTTTGCCCGCTTCAAACAGAATGTGGCGGCTTCCGAGACATTGACGCTGCCAGCTCTGCAGCATGCGCAAGTGCCCAACCAGGTCAACACGATGATGGCGCCGCCCGTGTTCTTCCATCACCCAATCTCGGACGTTGCGGTGAGGCTGCAGATACATGGTACTGGTCAGGCAGGTGAGTGGATGCCGGAGGAAGGCGTTGAGGGGGTACAGAGACGCAATGAAATGGATCCGGGAAGCCTGTTCATCTCAAACATGGAGGCGGCCTCTGTCGCAACTTCCTATCCTGAGCCCGGAACGTACGAGATGGAGGATCTTCTGATGGACCATGATGAGTATGAGCTTCTGCAGTAAGAAGCATGTTGACAACGCACGAAGATGAGAATGTTCTGCATGAATGATGGATAACTGATGGCGCGGCTGTTAGAAGGTTTCTGTTGACAGATGGGCTTGCATGGAGTCGGATACAGATGATAATGTCTGAAGGAGTTTTGTACGGATTGAGCAGTGTAGTGGGCATAAAACGGCGCAGTTGCACCTAGTATGATAGCTTCGGGGTTTTTAATCGTAATAAAAGTTGTTTTGAAAGCTGCTCGATCCAGAGTGTATTCAGATGCTGTGCTGTAATAGATGGAAAGTGTTCCGCGACAAATCCGACATTCGAGCAGCGCCATCGCTCGGGGCGAGATGCAGCTCGCGTCGAGGGTTTCCAGCCTTTCCAAAGGATGGTGTAGAGCCTCATTTTCACCGTGATGGCGGGATTGTTATCGTCAAAACAGCTTGGATCCGTTCAGACAAGCGGCCGCGGCATACTCCTGGTATCTTCGTGGCGGTGTGGTCGCTTCAGATGTCAACTCAGGACCCAATATGGCTGTGGGAGAGTCCGTAATATGCCGCAAGGGTAACCTGTCCATGAATCAGGGAACCGGGAGGTTCACAGGGACTATGTGACAATACAGGCATCTACGACCTGGATTGTCTCGGTAAAACTTGAACCTCTTCGATACCTCCATTCCTTGCTTTAATCGCAAGCTACCAAGCATGTAGTTTTCCATCACGGAAGATCCACGAGAGGTCCCCAATCAGAAACCCAATCAAACCAAAACTCCACCAAACTCCCTCCTCCCACCTGCAAGTTGAGGCCATTGCACAAGAAACCGATCCACAACCCACTCCAGCAGTCTTCCACTTAAACTCAACCTCTTAACTCGTGCCCAAGATTCCACATAAACAGTTCTCATCTTATCCTCCCTCTGACAATCCCTCCAATTAAAGAATCGTAGAAGCACAGATGTAAAGACCAGAATCGTCGCAGTAGCAGGACCATTACAGAGGATGATATCCGGAAATTCTGCTCTCTCCGTTAAAATGCTCACACATGTGAAGAGGCATTTCAAGCAGGATATTGGAGTTGAGAGGAGACTTTGATGGATTTTTCTGGCTCGAGGGACGGTTTTGATCGTGTAGGAAGGTTTTGATTGTTGTTGCGATTCTTCTTCTTCAAATTCTTGGGCTCGTAGGGCGGAAATGCTGTCGCCTGAGCTTATGACCCATGTGCGGTGTGTAAAGTCTTGCCAATTCAATCGCGAAGTGTTGTTGGGGTCGGTTGTGGCTCGGGTCAGCATGGCTATCATTTCTGCTGTGTGGCCGCCGCTTCCGAGGACGATTAGGAGGTGTGAGGGGTGGGAGTTTCGGGGTCGGGATATGGGTTTGCGGCGGTGGAGAATTGAGCGGAGGCGGATGAGGAGGAGGGTGGTGGTGATGAAGAGGAATCCTAGGAGAGAGGCGAGGAATGCGAGCATTTTGAAGGGGGTGTTATCGAGGTAGCATAGCGGGATGGACTGCTACATTTACGTATTGTTCGCCAATGCCAGTGTTCGTGAAGTGCTGTTGTTTTGCATGTGATCGGGATCCCGGCGACGGACCGAACTCCGGATCGCTTAGCCAGGGGTCCACATCATTCTATCCATTTCTCCATCTCCATGAGCATCATCTCTCCTCTCCTCTCATCATCAATGCTCGATGGTGGGACATTGCACGCGCAACATTCGCAGCTCGAACGAAGCCGCACAATCAACTCCAAGACCGCAAAACAACTWCCACCCACAAGACATTACCCGCTCCCCTCTCGAAGTCACAACAGCATTTGCACAGCAGAACCTCATCTTGAAAGAAGCATCATCAAACACACATTCTCCTTGCCCCAACTTTCAGCAATTCGTAGCACACTCCCTTTTCACGCAAGCACATATCTCACTTTCTTGCTCTTTGAACATGTCATTTTCGTATCGCGTCTTGGATACAGGCGATCGAAGTCCCCACGAGTGCAKCTCTCTCGAAAGCGAAACAAGCCAAAGTCCAACACGATAGAGAGTCTCGTCGAGACTGGCGCGCTCTGTGGAAGTGGGTTGGGAAGCTCCGGCAGGGAATACAGGACGACATACTCAGCACACCATCTCCTCTCAGCTTGCTGCAGACAACATTGTGCACATCACAGGGGGTACAAGCCTCCGCTCGGTATGCAACTGGATTAGCACACCTCAGGTTGGTTTGTGATGAACTGCAGGCTCTGGGCGAGTAGATTACATCTGAAGCAATGCAACGCGGAGATTGCAAGCACAAACGCACCATTGGTTGCGGTCGGTGGTCGGGCGAGCTGGGACTGAGGCATGGTAAGTAGAACGCTTCAAGGTGTGCGTCTCGCGCCCCAGACTATGAGATTCGACGCGGTAAGTAATACATTGAACATGGAAGTCGCATGGAAAATGGCGCTAGTAGAATGTCTTTCCAAGGTCCGCGTTTCTTTCCATTTTGACTTCACTCTCAAACATTAACATTGCGGATGAACTTTTCGTCTACAAGTTGACTGCGTTCATCACCTCCACCAAGCATCATCTCCACCAAGCACCACCCCCACCAAGCATCACCTCCCCCGAGCATCACCTACACCAAACATCGACCTCCGTCTGGCATCAGCTGCCGTCTGTCACATAACACAGCCAGGCTCGCAGAGGCCATCTGTTTATGGAATCTCGCACAATCGACGAACTTCTCAGCCCATTACGCGCGCGCGCGCGCACGCATCACACGCTTCACCAACCAATTGCAAGCGTCCTTCATCATGGCTACATTGCCACACGTCGCCGCTGCACTGAGACGCGCCGACGTCGTTTCGACACCTCACGGTCTCGACGCTCTCATCCACGCCTTGAAGCAAGAATTGAAAGACGTGCTCACCGAGAGATTCAACATGCGCGTCCAAACACTGCCACAGGAGCTCCAAGATTCCATTCTGGAGTGCGTCATCACCGAGAAGCCTTCTGAGGATGGCGTCATCTACATCGACGAGACTTATAAGCCGCCGCTCGCGCTCCAGCTGAATCGCAAAATGCGTGCCGCGTTCGCACTGGAGTACTATGGCGGTGACACCATCTTTCAATACATGTCTCCAGAAGCCCCTCACTCGCCACCATTGCCTACGGGAGTAGAAACCAGACTGCACTATCCTCATTTATCAGATTTTGCAGTCAAACCGCTCCGAAACTGGTTGTCCAATCTGGAACACCAGTACCGCACCCTGATCAGTACCATTCGACTCGATTGGAAATACCCTTCGAAGCGAGATGAAATTCTACGAGGGTCCCTGGGTTCGCATTGCTATACTGCATTGGTGGAGACGTGGATCGCAGATTCGCGGGAACGCCAAAATGGTATCACTCTCATTAACAAGAGAGTTCTTGTCTTCCGCCTGCGATCCGATGGGGGAGATAGGTGGTATCGTGCAGACTCAGATCTTGTTTACCATCTCAACCACGACGAAATTATGGAAGGTCTCCTCTAGCAGAAGCCCGTCACAGCTTCCGCGAATCCTGGAAATGGTCAATGGAGCACTATATAGTCACGGTGGAATCCGCCGCATGCGATGTTTCCTGATCCCTCTACGGAGTTATTGGTGGGGAACACAACATGCAAGTTTTGACATAGTTTACGGCGTTGTCACTGGGAGCGTTATCATGAAATTGAACAATCTTCTGAACGACTTCACATGCCGGTGATTCTTACTCTAGTCGTTTGTTGATATGATAGTCATTGAACTCGGTCCGGGTGAAATGGCTCCGATCTCCGATCTCAACGACCGGGACCACCCTAACTACTTTCCTCCACCGCATCCTACACTACAGTAACTGCACCACACCCCCAGCATCACAGTGATAAGTGGACGGTATTTCCTCGCTTCATCCAACCGGAGCGACGGGAAGGATCATGATCCACGGCAGCAGCAGCGGCACATGAGTCACCCATCGAATAGAAAAATACAATCCCCACAAACAACCCGATAAGAATCTTTCCCCACCCCCCCCCAACAACCTCATCCCTCTATCTCCATCTCCATCTCCAACACCCAAACCATGACCGGCGAAAACCTCTGGAAAACCCCCCGACTCATCTTCCGAGCAGTAGAAACAACCGACGAACCCTTCCTAGCAACCCTCAACTCAAATTCCCAAAATCTCCTCAACGCAGCCTTCTTCATCCCCCTCCCCCAAAACACCGCAGCAATCCAAAAATTCCGCGAATACATCGAAGCAGCACTCGTAGGCCTCCTAATCTGTCTCCCGCATGAAAAATGGTCAGGAAACGATAAATCCAAACCTATAGGCGTTATAACGCTTTCGAGAGAGGCGCAGAAAGCACATCATAGACATGCGGGGATTGGGATTAATATTTTGCCCGAGTTTACGGGGAAAGGGTATGGGAGTGAGGCTATTGGGTGGATTTTGGAGTATGCGTTTATGACTGTTGGGTTGCATCGTGTGGAGATTGGATGTTTTGAATTTAATCGGGGGGCTGGGAGGCTTTATGAACGGTTGGGGTTTGTAGGTTTTCCTTCTTCTCTGCTCTATCGTTTACGCCAATTCCTTGGAGATGAGTGCTGACTGTTATTATAGACTAGAGAGGGGTTCTCGAGAGATACCATTTTCAGCCAGGGGAGATGGTGGGGGGAATTCAAGATGGGTATGTTGGAGGATGAGTGGAGAGAGTTGAGGAAGAAGGGAGCTTTGTAGAATGAATGTGGCAATGTACGAACGCACGAAAAGAAGCTTTTCAAAGAACTCATTGTAAGGATCCACATTTGTAAGATCATTTGCATACTCAACATGCCAGATCCCCCTCATCCTGAAAGAAGAGTACAGCTCCAAGAAGTAGCAATCTGTCCACCAGGCCCAAGTGTCGCTTTCAGACCTTCAATAGCAGCCCAGGTGCCCATTCCCGAGGACGCCAATCCAGCACAAGTGAACATAATAACCAGGGTAGAGGGAACGATCGTCTTCTTATATCCTCGAATCCATCTCTTAAGCCCTCGATCATGCCGAACAGTAACACCAGTCTCAGGATCAAAGCCTTCTCCATCAAGTTTCGCGCCACACTGGATCTTGTAACCAGCGTACATGATTCCAGGGAGCGAGTACGTGAAATTCACCCCGAATAGGCCTCCGACGAAATTTGCGATTCCATTGAAGTTGGGGACTGACGCCGCGACTACTAATGCGAGAATCCAGTATAGAGGACCCGTTAGGTACCATAGTATACGGCCTTTTTTCGTGATGATTGGTGGGAGGCCGAGAATCTCCTGGCCGACTTCGAGGTATACGGTCTTCATACCGATGTTGAAGTAGAGGACTGATGTAATGTTAGACCATATACACCATGTACGGTGGGATATTTATTACTCACAGATGGCGATGAACCCAGTGACGAGGTTGAGAGCGTTGCCCGCAATTTGAACACTGTGAGGTTGCAAGACTTGCGTGATGGCAGAGTAGGAGTATTGGCCGTAGAAGTTGTACACCTGAGTATGTGTCAGTCTATATGATCAGGATTACTGGATGGAGAGCTTACTACTGCGCCGAAGACAGTGTAAAGTACGCAGATGAATGTCTGGGCAATAATCATGCCTTTCCAGAAGTCGAATGGCTGACGCATCTCCGCTAGAAAGGCAACGAACAGCACCGCGCCGGAGTATGAATCTAAGAGAATCTGTGAGTGGATGAATCCCGGTCGATACTCTTCTTCATACGTACAAACCATGGAGTCGACACCATTAAATTGGGCAGCAAATTCATTTTTGCTTTGCTGTTGGTATTCAATCGGAGGAGGGCCTACAAATGTCTTGATGTTTCCTTGCGTTTTGATCAAAGTCAGGCTGTTGACAACGCTGTACTCTGGAGCGTGCCGGGATGCGGCGGCGATACTGTGGTTAAGATCAGTATCAGGTTCAAAAGAGATACTTTTACACACCCACATCAAGAAGAAGCTGACGACATTGATCCAGACGCTCACATTGCACAACCAGCCCAACCGCTGCAGACTGCGAATACTACCAGATATCATGCCAACGACCATGATGATAATCATACAAGCGACGAAGCAGATCTTGTTATCAGCGATTTGATACAAGATCTGAGATTGACCGAGTAGCAAGACGGCCACGCTGAAGAACATCTGGATGGATTGTGTGACGTTGATGAAGTGCCGAGCATTCGGTCCATACAAACGAAAGAAGCTAGCATTGGGTTAGCGGTTGTACTCGTTCTGTGTCTGAATGGTGCCTACGAACGGATCTCCATAACTGAGCATGGGATATCGAGACGAGTCAAGACCTAGGAAGGTTCGCCAGATCATCCAGCCGCTGGCACCAGCTGCCAAGGCGAAAATGATGTACAGTGCAGCGCCAGGACCAAATCCCACGGAGGAAAAGACAAAAGGTGTGCTTTGAAAGCCCAGGATGTCTGTTGTCATCACCTGTAAGAGGAAAGAACCGTCAGCCTGTCTCTGATGATCGCAACAACATTTGCCTACTCACATAGAAGATGGTTCCCCAACTGGCCGTCCGAAGCGCTCGAGCAGCAGTTCTCCACTCAGTCTCTGTCACTCCTGCGTTGGGAGCTGCATCCGGAATGATATCACTGCTCTGTTCTGAGCTTTGGTCGACTTTCTCATTCACGATCTGGTTTGCCTTCTTTGCATTCTCGTGGTGAACGCCCTTGGAGAAGCSACCTTTGATGACCGATTTCACAGTCCTCGGGCCTCTTTCCGAATTGTACAGACGGTTCTCATCAACCTGGAGAGCAAGTCAATCTACTACCCAGTATTGTGAAATTGACTCAACTCACCTCCATCTGCCGTTCAATCTTTGCCCAGTGACGATATTCTTCAAACGTCACACCGCGTTGTAGACGTGCTTCTAGGCCATACTTGCGCTCAATGTAGCCGACATGACCAACATCTGTCGATAGCTTGCCTTCCGCCTCAGGTGCCGTGGCTTCAACGACTCCATCCGTACGAGGTGCCGTCTTGAAGGAAGCTGTCGCAGTTGAAGCCATCTCTCAAGATATCCTTACTGCAGAGAGCTCAAAGCGAGCTGGAAGTATTCAACTGGTGTTGTAAGAGTTGGAAAACACCGCACACTGTCAATACGATGTTCTTTCCGAGCAGAGTACGTGTACAGCATCCTTCCCAGCTGCCTATTCAGGCCAGGCATGGACTTTGAGTTTGACCGGCAGTGTCGATGTCATGGGTCTTGATAACCGAGGAGTAGTCAAGCACTTACTAGCTGTATAAGCTTCAATAACAAGCCTCTCTTCGTAATCAATAAGAAGAAGTATCGGTGAGGCTTCTCCCTCCGCCGAGAAAGTGTAGACATCTAGAGATGCTCCAGGTTTGAGRGTCTGCCGTGGATTGCCTCACAGGTACCTTTTACAGGCTCCTCGGTATGTCTCTATACAGACTTGCGTCCACGCCGTGAGACCATATCGACAAAGACCGCGTGGCACTATTCCTGGTTCAACACTTAGGCGAGCCGCTTCTTCCGATCCCATGCGCCAACCTATGAGATCTCGAGCTTGATGATATCGGCAAGTTGTCARGGCGTATTTCCGGCATCTCACGGCAACGGCTGGAGACGAGCACCAGGACGCTCATCAAATCTCCGAGATAGAGAAACACTTGAAATGCCAGTTATCAACTCCTGTGACTCCATTCTGACTGCCTAGACAGGCTCTTTGGCAAAGTTGAATCATAGACTTGAATAGACCTGGATTGGGCGTCATTGATATACTTGTTGGACCCTCAAAGGCCAGTCCAGACTCCGGGGTCCGGCAAGCTTGCAATAAGGTAAGGTATTGACAATTCTTCTGGTCCCTGGACCGTCCGGTCTACCTCCTGTAGCCCGCAAAGCGACCTTCTTTCGGTCTGATAAATACGGCATCGAAATGCCATCCTCTGAGAGCTACGCGGCGCTTGTGGCTTGCAATCGTGGTCGCTCCTCCTTGCGGAATGAATGCATACCGATCAGCTCATTGAATCTTCAACTGCTTTTGCGGTTTTCATTGGTGTTTTCTTGTGTGACTTTCGGGTCTCTTTTGTAAAATGATCACTGGCAAGCAGAGATGATGGAAGAGATGAAGTTGCGGTACAGTGTCGGCTTGATGTGGCATGCCGATACTCAAACTCCCAAACTGGCCGGCCAAGGCCTACGTTACACTCAAATGCCACATTTCCATGTCATGATTGTTCCATAGTTGTATCGATTGATCCTGAATGCGGATGCCAATTCTGAGAGCATGGAAGCTATGTCAGATTGTCGTGCTGGTGATGAAGATGAAATAAATGCTAAATATTGTTCTGAAATGCTCTAAATATGATACTCTGTTAACATGCCCTCAAAGCCTCAATCCAACTTGTTCTTGACCGGGAGTAGTTCCACATGCAATGGTGTACGTCTTTCCCATAACACAAGTCAGTGCTCTGCATATCTGTCYCAAACGCCAAAGCAAATCCCGTCCCATCCAACCCTCTTCACTCTTCACATCCAAAACATCTTGTCGTTGAAATTCGCATTCCAAGGGTTGCGGCCCACTCCCTGACCACCACGACCCCAAGCAGTATCCAGCAGCGTGGTGCGTGCGGCGTTGTTAGCAAGACCTTGGACGCTCGGATCATTGTCGAAGAACTCTCGCAAGTACAGCATGCAACGCTCGCAAAGGCGGTCGGCGTAGTATGCAGGAGAAGCATAAGACACAGCTGAAGCCGAATGAGAAAAGTTGTAGCAAAAGGCGTTGGTAAGATTCTGAATCTCCACCTCGGAGAAGCGCATGCCATTCTCAAGCACTCGGTACAGAGTGGCCTTGGCGGAGCCCCTCTCCACATCATGAGACTGAAGGTAGAAGTCGAAGTGGTAGGGTGAAGTGATGTCTCTGTTGATGACCGAGCCCGGAATGATGTTGCCTGTTCGTGTGGACTGGCCGCCTTTCACTGGATAGAAGCGAGTGGTGTGTCGCTTGACAGCGACGACAGCTGTCACGACAACTTTTGTTGATCCCTGCGGACCAGCAACGTTTTGGTGAGCCGTCTTGATTGCAGAGATTTCACTCAGGATGCCAGCATATTGGCTGTCACCGGTACCGTCACGGTAGTACAGGATTCTGGCGGGCAAGCGACCAGCGTTCCGGCTCTGCCAATTCTTCAAAGCTTCGGTGACCATTGAAACCATGTTGGTGCTGTCAATGATCTCGACTCTGGGATCCTGCCGGCGAGCAGAGCCCAGAAACTTTGCAAAGATGCCATCAATGCTCGCAGCGATGCAAGCGATGGTGGGACAAACTTCGGCGCTCGTAGCCTTTGGATGAATGAGATCCGCACCGAGCACAAGGGTGTTGCACACTCCACCTGGCGATAATGCTTGGTACCCACTGGCGCTGTGGTTCATATTTCCGAGTCGAGTGTTCAACTTACTCGCGTTGTTGGCGAAGTAACTTGAAAGGTTAGCACTGACATGGACAGATGAGGGCTCAGGGGACTTACGGGAGGAGTGCTCCACCGGTGATCGGGCTGCCGGCCTTGACAGACCCAAACGCACGATCTTCGCAAAAGACAAGCGATGGCTTGCCAATGATCTGATCCATTACAATCCGGAAATTGGCGTACATCGGACGTATCTGAGCATTAGCAGAGGGCAAGGCAAGAACCACCAAGCCTGCCTTGTTCGCCCGCATTGTCTGAGTGACGCTTGGAAGACTGTTCAGGCCTGGAGCTGGGAAAGGCTGGAATCTATTGCCCAACCGGATGTTCTGGCGCTGGTTGTAGTTCAACTGCCACGCGCGCTCAAAGCCTTGGATGTACGCCCCGCCGAGCTGCGGTCGACCAAGGTTCTGCGTTGGGCAGTAAAAGGCAACTCCATCAGTGCCATTGAAGTGACTCCTATCCTGGGACAAGAACTTCATGTTGCGAGTTGACCACTGGCCGGGTGTTTTCAGAGTGAGCTGCTGATTGCTGCCATAACTGATTGTTGGCGACGGGATCAAGCGAACTGGTACAGGAGTCATTCGTTTGGCCACTAGAACACCAGCATCGATCAGTCGGGCAGGATCTGGGTGTTGTGGTTGGAAGCCAAGTGCGGCCATTCCCACGGACTCTATGTTTCCCTGATTAACATCAGGCCGCTGAGTGGCAAAGTTGATCATCGCTGCAGTCAAGGTTGGGCTGAGACGATCGAGCGTCTTGCGATACATCTGGCCCTGAACAACATCAAGCTGGTCGGACAAAAACCAACACTCTTGACCAGGTTGGGTTCCACTTGTGTTGACGCAAAATTGCCTGCCCTTCGAAGCGCTCTGGGCTGCYTCCGCTGGATGATTCGTTTCAAAGTGCTGCCAAACAGAGACTGTGGCATTAAATCTGTCGGTGAAGAAGATCTCATTTGCAGGCTTGGTGGAAATTCCAGTGATGCTTTTGAGGCGTCCCTCGGGTGTATCTTTCGTTGAGCCAACCTCGCCAGGCTTGTCGCGATTGTATCTGATGCGTACCCGCAGCCCGATGAGGTGCTGTCTCCCGCGCTGATTGYCGATAAAAGCACCGGGGCTTGGCGAGAGGTCTTGAATGTGTTGACTAACAGGATTACCTTTGTAGAACGCGCTGAAAGCAGTGTTGACGTTCAAGAACAAACCACCTCGGCGTGCTTTGATGTGGCTGGTGTAGCCTCGCAGTCCAATCAAACCCCAACTCCCTAGCTCGAATGGCTGATTGGGTGAGAAGTAATGATTGTCGCCAATTTGGATGGCTCCCGTGTTGCTATCTGTGACCGCCTGTCCAAGAAGAATGTTCAGCGCCTCCTCTGCAACACTGGCCGGATACGCCATGTTCTGGCCCTGAGCATAGTTTTGCAGATCACTCAGATCGATCGTGCGAACGTAGCCAAGATCCATGGTCAGGTATTGAGAGACAACACCCTGTTGGTTGCGATTGTAGTCGGGAACGAGCTGCTGGACGACGGTCTGCCCAATTGCTTTGCTGGGATCGAGATTTCTCCACGCAATGAACCTGCCTTCGCCGTTGTACACGAACGGAGCATTGGCGGCGGCAAGAATGGGAGTCATCTGGATAAAACGCTTGATCATGACCTTCTTCTTTGGTCGAGAGAGATCATTTGGAGGTGCCACCAGAAGGCCCGAGAGTTGATATTCGTGCAAGACCGGCGCACCTCGCTTCTTCGTTTCCAGAGTGACTTTGAAGTAGTTTGTGAGCACTTTTTGGTTGTTTGGCTGTGCTTCGACTTCTGGAGGACGCATCTCTCCGATTTGTGGAACTGCTTGCAACGACTCTTGCTTTGGATCTGTTGAAGCTCTGATTGGCGCACCGGCCTGGGGTGCGGTAGAGGCACCAGCAGCAGAAGCAGTGGTTGCGATTGGAGCTGAGTTGTTGGTCGCTGGGGCACTGCCAGAGGCTGGTTGGGTGGATGCCGAGGATGCTGAGTTACTGATCTGGAGAGCGGACACCGCAGAGACTGTTTGATCCATTGCGGTAGAGTTGACGGAGGGTGTTGCAGATGCCGATGAAGGATTGGATTGCGGAGTTGAAAGTGCAGCATTCTGCTTCTTGCCTCCCTTTCTACGTCCCCCCATCTTCAAGAGAGTTGTATGGTAGGTTGTAGAGAGACTGACAGACTTGATCCGCAAAAAGGCTTTGGCGTGACTTTTGAAGCTATTTCAGGTCGAAACGATCAAACAAAGTTGCAGAAAGGCTGTGTTGTGGAAAGGAGAATGTGAAGATTGGTGAATGGTGTGAGAAGAAAAGTTGCAGTCAGTGTACTTACCCACTACATATATCATTCTGAACGGTGCTACTAGTATTTGCTTGGGCGACACGGCAAGTATCATCCATTGCAAGCAAATTTCATCGTGGAAGCAAACGCCAGAGGACTTCTTTCTTCGCGCTCGGAGGAGCAAATGGTCTTGTTTTGTCGCCGGCTGTATAGTCACCGTGTCGTACAAAGAGCTTGCATTGTTGAGGAATGTTTGTGCGGTGTATGCGAACTCCATGGTACCATTCCTTCCATTGTAGTTTGGTGCTGCTTGTTGATGGCCTGGAGACGTTGTGAGAGGAAGGTACATGTACATGTCATGTAGTTGAGACAAATTCATGACGCGATGTTTGCGAGTTGGTTTTGATGCCTCAGGCTTCCAGGTTGAGACCGAGGGCCCAGCGATTACTAGGGTTRGGGTTGTGGTAGTCGATAATATCGCCAAAATCTGGACATGAGACGATTGAAGAACAGAAGGACATACTAAACGTGAACTTGACCCAGAGCATGATTTCAGGGCTTAAAGGTGCATTTTTACGTACAGGTGGCTCGGTGCAATTGGTATCTTTACCAACACATCTCTACCTACTTCCATCCATCCTTTGGATGGAAAAGTCCGCTGGCATGCTGTCACTCCCTCCCTCATCAACGTCACCCCGCGAACGAGGCGCACATCCACATTGGTCATTCGAATTTCGTTAAAGTATATACACCAAGATGATCCACACGACCAGCACCCTCCCAAGGGCGTCTGGAAGCAGTAAACATATCCAACAACGCCAACGCTAGCAGCAACAACAACCTCCAAAGTGCCATCCCCAAGGCTCGTCGACTAGACGTCCTCCAAAACGCCAAATGCATCATCTTGCAAAACTCTCACTCGTCCTCCCTGCCCGGTGAGGCCCTACGCTCCCGGTACTCCATATCTGCGGGCTTCATGATGCCCGAGTTCAAAAAGCTGAGAGCGCGACTGGCACGACTGCTGGTCGAGCTACCTCGCTCCTTCTCCTTCTGACCTCCTCCTCCAGCACCATATCGCATGGGATCGACCAGCAATCTCGTCTTGCGATTCACATTCACTCCCAGAGCAAACACAAGGCAGGCCCCARAAGCAGCAACAGCCACCACAAGACTAAACTGCACACTGCGTCCCGCGTAAACCATAGTGGTCGAAATAGGCGAGAAGACCGCACCGCCGCCGATCGATGAGGTCAGGAGGACAGTCGCAATCCGAGTATGCCTTCCTTGGCCGCGCATGCCCTGCGCGAAGATGAGACCGAAGAGCGGTCCCTCCCAGAAATATGTCATGACAACCATGGCAACTCCAACGGTACCCGTTTGGTTCATAGCCAGCACATTGAAGATGATCAACCCGCAGAGGAATATCGCGAGGAGAATGCGAGGTTTGATCCAGAATCCCAGGCCTGCTGTCAGAAACCTCGATATGGCGAATGCGGTGTGAGCAACGGCAAAGTAGTGTACTTCATCATAGTCGGGGGCTACCGTCTGGAGGTATCTGTCCAACTTGCCATTCACCTCCTGCCCTCCCACGTAWCAGAACTGGGCGCAAACACCGAGTCCCAGCACAATCCATGGCACAGGAATTCGACAAATCTGGGCCTTGTTTGCTCCGTCCATACGTTCGGCCGCGTCTTCGAGCTCTTCGTCAGAGGCTTCCGGCAGGGGAGCGTAGAAATAGACCACAGCGAGAAGCACAGTAGTCAGAGATATTCCGAGATAGGCCCATTGCGTGTTGACCAAAGAAGGACTTGAGTTTGAGACGAACGCCCAATTAGCAATCAGCGGAGCGACCACGCTCCCACAAGCTTGAATTCCCTGACTGAGATTGATTCTCATCTCGCCGTACTCGGGAGGTCCGCAGAGCACGATGAAAGCGTTGGCAGATACTTCCAGAAGACTGAGACCGAATCCAACGATAAAGTTTGTCGCTAGAAATGTTCCCCAAGACGTGAGAACAGCGGCAGGCCAGTAGATTAGACATCCAGATGCGTAGATGCAGAGTCCTATGGGATAGCATGCCTTGAATCCCCAGTGTTTAAGAACCCAATGTCCGACGGTCAGTGGCCCGAAAAAGTAGCCCAAATAGTATGCACTTCGTAGACCAACAGCTTGAGAATCTGTAACATCGGCCACTGTCTGGAATTGACGATTCAGCGAGTCTAGCAGGCCATATTCGAAGCCCCAGATGAAGAACAGAACCGTTACTCCTGCGAGAGGAATGAAGGACTCWCGATTACTCATGTGTACCATACACTTTCGCTGCTTCTGAACAACAAAGTCGAAGAAGTTGGGAGAGGCGGGTAATGTATTGCGTGAGGTGTTGGTCAGCATAGTCTGTGATCGCTCCAGAGCCGTCTCCGGGGTGGTGAGGAAGTCCATCATCCCCATCTGGCCTTCCTCTTCCTCTTCTCTCCTACCCGTATCGGCCGAAGGTCGAGCAAAATCTCGACGGCCAGATAGGAATTGAAGGATGTCCATGGAATCGTCGCCGTTCCCAGGAGACGGTGCTCTCCCAAGGCTGCGATCGTGAACATCATCTGGAATGGGTGGGGCAGCTTTGTCCACCTCGGGGTTTGGTGACGAGAATGTGTTGACCGCGGAAGAGGCATCACCCGGATCGCGCAACATGTTCGGTATGAAGCGAGCGACGAGCGGCTTGAGCGCGGGAACCGAGGCTACAATGATTCCAATTGCAACCTCCACAGCACTCCACATGAAGGAGAATGCCAGGTAAAAGGAAGAGTCGGTTGATTCGACAGTCCGAAGATCGCCAGGCTCGGCGCTGTTATTCTGAATCTCCGCGAGGCGCATTTGAGAGGCGCCTTGCAAGTACGATATTCGCACAATGTCCACCACGATCGCCAGTAATCCAAAGGAGAACGTCACCACTAGGATGAGCTTCTGTTTCGAGGGCAGTCGCATACTAGTAAGAATAGGCATGGGCAGAAATAGCAAAGCAAAGTCCGTGATGATATTCAAGGGGATCGAGGCCAGGTAGATGGTGAGGATATCTGTACAACTCGCACCCGCTGGGGTGACTGATTGGAAGAGTGCAGATATTGGCGTACAYTGAAACACAGTGACCATTGTCAACGCGAACCCTCCAGCATTGACGAAGAAGAGGGTCAGCCAGCAGCCCCAGCGGAAAATGACAATGTCGTTGGCCTTGGTGAACGACAGAAAGAAGACCAGGATGGAGCTCTTCGTAGCCATCAGAGCCGGCTGGTATAAGATGCTGAAGGCATAGTTTGCCTGCTTGAGCGTATGTTGCCATTCATCCGGTATGTTCCGCTCATGTCGGCCCAGTCCATAGGCGCATCCATAGCATATTGAAAAGGACAGTCCGCAGGCGATGATCCATGCCACTAGCATGAAGTAGTCGTCCAGATGTATCTTCTTCACAATGAAGCCTCTCGAGAGCATTCGCAGTGCGACAACGATTGTTGCCAGCGAATACACTACGATGGTGACGGCGAATACGATCTCGCCTCTGCCGCGCAAGTCCAAGTTGTCCGCCATCTTGTCGCTCTTACGCGACAAAGCTCCATCATCTGCGACCAACTCTTGCTTACTAGCAGCTCACTCGACGTCTCGTCTCGTCTCGGATTGTTGAAGTCGTACGTCGAGTCCGGGGCTTGCAGATCACTTTTGCGCCGATCTTGACAGACCGTCGTCGTCACCGTCCGCGTTCTTCCTTCCTGCGCATGCGCCGAGCGGTCCTGTGCTCGGATGGTCCGTATTGCGGTGCTGCTGGCCGTGCTGTACTGCGATGCTGCTGAGAATAGCCTTCGAGATCCAGAACGTCGGTAGGTAGGAAAGAAAACATGAACCACGGCGTGATGCGAAATCGCTCGCCTTTAGCACGGGTGCTAAAAGCGTAGCGCCTCGTGGCAGGCCGTACAGTTTACAAGAAACCATGGTCGTGGGGAACGCTTGAACAACCGAACAGCGATCCGAGGGCGAGATGACAGCGCTGATTTGCCCGTTGACGCAGACGGCCGCCTCTTTTTCCTCTTTGGTTCACCCCGCTTCCCGCGCCAAGTCGTGCTGCGTGCAAGACCCCAGACCCCAGCGCCGTCAAAACGCGACCGAAAGACGTCCGAGAAACATACAAGCCTGCTCTCTGCGCATGCGATTGTTCCTCCATGACTTGTCAGAGGAGACGAGTGTGCTATTGAGCCTTGCCGGGGCTTTTGTTCAGTCGGCGAGCAGCTCCAAAGCTGAAAGAATTGACGTCTGTGGTACCCCGAACAAGAATCCTTGCAACTGCTGTGTATGTAACGGCGGCACAGCTCCGTCATGTCGCGTGGCGGGCGAGGTTCACACACAAGATGAATACACAAGGTTCATGGATCGATCTGTGGATGGCAAGGTAAGGTACCTCTCAATCGCAACACGCGACCTTGCGAAAAGCTCGGGCTCGGTCGGTGTTGATACCTTCCGCAGCCCGCGATGTCATCGGTCGTTCGGCGTTTGCTCGCCAACACGCACTGTGCTTGGGCAACGGACATGGCACTTCTGCCATTCACTTGTCTTCTATGGTAACCCTCGTGCTCGCGCCGGTCTCCAGAGCTCCGGAATTTAAATCCCATCCAGCCTGCCGCAACTGCTTGTCATACGTGCTGAAGAGATTTCTCGCGGCATCTCGAGTTAACTTGAATCTCTGAAGCTCTTGATCAATGTCTGAGCTGGCTTTCGAGATCGACTTTTCTGATACAGCTCCGTCAACGAGCAACAGAGCCTGCCACCAAGCAACAAGAACTTCGCTTGGTTCAATGCCCTTCTTGAGGACAATATATAGGCTGGGCGTGCTTGACTCCAAAGACTTGTCCTTCCAGAGCACGTACCGACATCTCTCGTAGATGCTCATCACCTTGGTCAAGGTCTCGCCTTCGAGTTGCACAGCGTTTGTCGAAGTTCGCTGAGAGGATACAGCGTTCAGAAGACGCGTTACTGGGACGCCAACGGCGCAAAAACCCAATATGCGACGCTCACGACACCTCAGAATACCACCGCGCTCGAAGATGTTTTCTTCGCTTGCAATCTGATCGATCGAAGGCACATGTCCTCGTTGGAGGTGATGAAACACGAGGGTTGCCCGTTGTCTGTTCAGGGTCCGCATTTTGACCGCTCTGACCGCTCTCCTGTTGGTTTCGAGATGAATCGAGAGGAGGAGAATGAGTGTGGCCCAGGTCGCCATGGGCGTGGTGATCCACGAAACGACCATACTGCCGACCAGCATTCCCACGAGAGATATGACGGTCTCCTGGGACGAGTCTTTGGCATTGAGCTCACCGAGGTTTCCCCAGCGAGCAAAGTGTGCGCTGAGACTTGCCTTTGAACTTCCCGCAGCTACTCCACACAAAGCTCTCAAGACGCTGCTAAAGCTCAGTATCAGGACTCGGACTGGCTTCGGAAAGACGGGAGATAGACAATCCAAGATGAATGCCGTGTCATTTAACACGTCGGCCAATAGGCGATACATCTTGCATTCCGGCTCCAAGGAGGTTCCAAATCTGTGTGCGAACAAGATGGTCGCTATCCGGCCAGCTGATTCTTGGATGATGGAGAGCAGTAGTGCGGCTGTGGGTGATGCAGATGAGTCTCCTACCCCGACACTTGAAAGAACCGCACGAGACGACAGCAGACTAGCAATACTGCTTGAAAATGCCTGCAACGAGTCCTGATAGTGTTTAGCATGTGCACCCCTGTGAGGTCGGCTGATCAAGGAGGCATACATATATTTGATACCTGCCAAAGTCAGCATCATAAAAGCTATGCGCTAGCGATCCACTCACTCCAGGTAGTCATCTGTGACAGAATGAGGGTAGCCCACGGGCAAGAATCTGGGGATTGCATCAGCTGGCGTAGTGGTTGAATGGTGTAGGAAAGACCAACACATCCACACCCTTCTGCCACAGCGACTTCAAGTCGACTGGCGGCTTGTAGCACGGGTTAGCATTTTCTTCGATGGAGGAATAAGCCGCTCACAATAGCGTCTACTCTGCTGAGCGATTGGGAGCCGCCTGTCTGGCTCTGAACATAGGTCGCCGTCACATTATCTCCACCGCCATCGTACTCCGTGATTCGCAGTGCGTTTGTTGCCATGTTTGCCGACACTTCAGACTCTGGTCATCTCACAGAGGATGGCGTGAGGAAGATAACGGCGGAGATGAGACAGCACAGCCCTGAAACATTGCAGGGAAGACGCGAAGACGCGGAGACATATAAGCTTTCTTGGGCGGCAGATCCGACGCGTCGATCCCGGCTATCGTCATCATCACTTTTGTCTCCTCTTCGTCTTGACTACTGTACTCACACCTCTGTTGTGTCCAGCACGCGGTGATCACCAGCGACGCATCACCCAATCACAAGAACTATGGAGCTCATCCCGGRCATACTACCGCCATCGCGAGAGACGTGGGAGTGGATCGCTTACGCGTGGCAGTTCTTCCCTCTCGTACGTCTCATCATTGTCGGTGATACACACAATGCTAATGCAAGCCTCATAGTTGACCGCCGGTCAATGGTTCACCGACTTCCATCCCATGGGCAAGGGATCCATTGAATCAAAGTGGAACATTCCAGGTAAGAAAGACTATTGCCTCATCACGCCGGAATCATACTGACACTGACACTTGTTAGGAAAATGGGCATGGCTGATCATGGAGGTTCCTGGTTTCATGACAGTGCTCTACTGTATGCTCACCATCCCGGAGAAGGAAGGTCTTGCTGGACTTYCGTGGGCCAACTGGACCATGGCCGGCATGTACACGGTCCACTACATCTATCGGGCAATTCTGTCCCCATTGGTGCTGAACCCATCCATGTCTCCCATCCACCCCTACGTATTTGTATCTGCTTTTGCCTGGCAAGTCATCAATGGCCTCTCCCTCGGTGGGTGGCTCGGCGGATACGGCCCGAGAACGGTTTACGACTGGTCCGGCAGACTCTACGAGATTGAAGTCGGAATGGTCATCTGGGGCTGGAGTCTTCTCGGCAATATCTTCCACGACGATGACTTGAGAGAGATCCGACGCTCCGCCCTTCGCCGGCAAAAGGAACAGGCCGAGAAGGATGGCAAGCCCATCGACGGCGTCGACAAACTCTACATGATCCCAAAGAATGGATTGTTCCAATTGGTGCTCTACCCGCATTACCTCTGCGAGTGGTTTGAGTGGGCGGGATTCTGGCTCGTGGGCGGCCTGCACTGCGTTCCAGCCAGGAGTTTCCTCTTCAACGAGATAGCCGCCATGCTTCCACAAGCCGTGGCCGGCAAGAGGTGGTACATCAAGAAGTTTGGCAAGGAGCGCGTGGGTAATCGTAAAGCGATTATTCCGGGAATTTTGTGAGACAGCAAGTCTCGCACCGAACTATTATGCACAGGGTTGTGGGAATGTGACATGTTTAATATTTGGGCGAATGCTTTTCAGCCCACATCTCCTTTCCATTTTGGACGTCAATAGCCATAGTGAAGTAAATACCCTCATCTAATTCATGACATCGTATGCAGCAGACATCTCTCTCGCACTATCGACTGACTCCCTCCAACAAGTCAACTCGTTACTTGCATATGAATGCTAGAAGCGCCCGCTTTGGGCGCTACATGTCTGGCATCAACTGGTTCTCCCCTGAACGTCCCGTTTCGAATGACACTTTGACATCCATTCGTTCCTTGGTAGACTAACGGTATCAAGAGCACCCCAGCCTCAGCCATCCATACAAAACTCCACACCCCCTCCATGCTCATCAAAACAAGCCATATTATTCTCAGCCAACTGCCCCAAAAGACTCAAAAAGGGATCATCATCAGTAGTAGTATCCACAGACCCAGAGCCCGCACTTGTTCCGCTAGGCGTATACAAGTCATAAGTCGTGAAACTACCATTATGATGGACAGCAGTATTCAACCCAAGTCCAGAACCTAATTGAGCGGAGCCGAAATTATGAGTAGATAGGAATTCTATTGGGAGTCCCTCGAGACCGAGACCGCGCGCGACGTAATCTGAGTCAAGGTGTGAGTGGGATGTCAAGGGCGTTGGGATCATTGCTTCCTCTTCGATGAGAGGTTGGGTAGACTCGGGTCTTGAGGCTGGATATTGTAATGCGGAGGTTGTAGCTCGTCTTCTTTTGTGGAAKATGTGTGGGATACGCTCTTGCATGGTGGATTGTGAGGGGTTTGTAGAGGTACGAGAGTGCAGCGGCACAGACCGTCCTGTCCAGAGATCACTGGCTTGCTCAAATTGATTGTAGATTGGCAAAGCCTCCTGCGCATCTTCGGGAATCACAAGTTCCGAAAATGTGACGTGGGAGCCGTCAATGTAGGAGTCTGGATAACGATCGAAGAAGTCTTCCATTTGAAAGGCTGGGGGAAAGCGCGCGGGATTGGAGGATGCTGTTCTGACGAGATCGGCGTGACTGTTGAATGCTGCGGTCAGAGTGTCGCGGTGGTGCTGAAGGCCTGCGTAAATCGATCGAAGCTCCAGAAGATGAGCCATCCCTCTTGAGAGATACTCTCCGCTCTGACGGTATGTGTCACTCTGTGGGTACGACACGTAATGTGTACCGTGGATGTGGATGGTTCCCGCAGTGCATATACAGTACCCGACAAAGCTAGGCCAATCTGTAAGGGTTGTGGAATGGCTAGCGATTTGGCAGAGCTCTCCAATGGCATTCGCATGCAAGAAGCATAGATGTGTGGCTTCGATCTGCCACGACTGACTCTGTCCCGTTCCCGAAAGCTCCGATAATTCGATGGGAAGAAAAGGTCTGTAGATCAGACAATGGATCAAGTGGTAGATGAGCTTGCTCAAGACCAACACAGAGCTATCCTGTGACCCAAAGATTGCATCGACAGATGTGAAGATCTCTCGAGTTGCTGCTGCCCAGCTATCGAGCTCCGACCTTATCCGGGAGAGGGTAGATTGAGAGTGCCATGGAAAGTGTGAATCGCCCTTGACGCCGCCTGCGCCGAGATAGCGGTTGGTGATGCCAAGCATCCTCACAATCTCAATGAGCATTGCGCCACCACCTTGTGCAGCGTTTGAAGCACCTGATACTTACTGTTAGCGTAGTTTACCAGACAGTCCTCGCCGCCATACATACCAGTAGTATACGACAAGTTTGACCCGTTGGTAAAGTAAGGCCCATCTACAAGCACCCGCGATCCAGGCGGCTGCCACGCTGGTAGTCGTAGATGAATCGATTCATCTGCAATCATAGTTGGTCTCTTTGATCCGCTTACAGAGAAGCGATCCATAAGATAGCAAGTCCAGAACAACTTCCGACGTCCTTCTCGTTCAAACACAGCAATTTGAAGCTCTGCAGGCAACTCCAAATGTAGGTTCAGAGCGAGAGCCATGCTGACTGCATGGTTCAAAATCATCTGAGACTTCTTCCCTCGACCATTCTGGAAGTTGGCCGTCGCTAGCAGTAGAAGCGCCTGCAGATTCTCTACTGTTGGTTCATCAACATCGATCTGGGCTCTGGCCCGATCCATGCATGCGTGGCTCGACTGCCTGGCCCCTTCTTGGCCCCCGTAGAGGTGTGGGGCATATTTGATCGTTACTGCATGGATTGCATCGACCAGGAACGGCGGTAATCGGCCGTCTCTGAATCTCAATCGGGTTGCAGACTCATCGAGAATGTAAAATGGCTTGTTGTGTAGGCATGAAAAGTATGTGTCGAGCAGAACGTCGGTAAATGCAGAAGCTTCGGGTAGTCGCTGATCTGGTATGAAGTCGGTCCTTGTGTGACTCGACACCCTCGGGATGGGCTCTTGCATTGGTGAATCGGAATCATCATGGCTGCTTGATGCAACGGTATCAATTGGCGGAGGTGCGCCTTCCCTTTTTGGTGAGATGGATCGTTGTTCGTCTTTGAGCCGCTTCTCCAATCCATTGACTCGCTTGAGCAATGCCTCCAGGACGTCGGTCTTGGGGCCGCGTTTCTTCGGAACGGCATCTTTGATGATCAAGTCAGCGGATGTGAACCAAGCTGGGGACCGGATCTGATACCATAGACGCAAGTAGAGTTGAACACTTGACAGGCCTCGCAACTTGGCTTAAGCCTGTTGCATTTGATCTGAACAAGGTCAGTGGCAAGACTACTTCCCCGTTAAAGCCATCTGACCTTGCGCTTGCGACAGCTTTTACAATTCATGGCCTCTTTTGAATCGTTGCTCAGCTTCCGTACAGGGAGTCGATGAATTGGACGCTGCATAACCGGTCCACTGTCAGCAATCTGCTGTGCAATGCTCTGCTGTGCAATTGGCATGGTTGGAGAGACGGAATTTGAGGGTTGCATGGTAAGAGCATGGCTGCCACGAGATGGGAGGAGATGTCCGGCGTGTAAAGGTACGAGCTTGCGCCAGAACAAGAGCGGCAAGTAGATGGCAAGGCAAGGTCTCAGCTTGCAGCAGTGGAGCCGGAGACGTCCACGCCCACTCCCACTACTGACGATGAGGTGGGGAATAGTGCAGACCGACCGGAGCTTCTGCTGCCTCTACATCTTATGACCTGCCTTAAAAGCGCCAGCGTGCGTAGCGATCTGCCTGAGGGACACCTTAGATCCTCTTCTCCTCGTCGGCGGCGCTTAGTGAAGTCCTGCTCGTCTGCTGGCCCACAGCAGCGATGCACGCTCGGACGACAGCTCGCCAAAGGAAGGCCGAATCCCGCCATGACTGCCGTAAGTGGACAGGATCCCCGGGGTGCTGCAGCGTTTCCAGAAGCTGTGTGAACAATAATCGACGTGCAGCGCGCTATGAAGGTGTTTCTGGAACGCGGGGAAAGCAACAATTTACCCAGCACATCCCTGCCCAATAAGACTAGTGCTCCGGCCTGGTGCTCCGGTGGCACACCTCTGTGCTCCGGGGGTTTGTTTCGAATGTCCACATGGTAAGCTCGTGTGCCTTGTGCATACCATATCATATCATACCATGCTCATCTCATCATCATACTACGAACCATGCAAATCATCAGGCAGTTGTGTAACAGTAGTAAGCTATTGTTCTCGGTCGATGCAACCCGTATTCCATACCCAGATATCCAAGGCATCGCGGGATACGATGTGGTACGAGATCGTCGGTGTATAGGGCCGTTTGGCACTTGTAAAGTTCGACTAAGTGAAGTCTGATGAACGAGGAACGATCGTCACGAGATCGCGAGAGCAAAGTTAATTCCTGCTCAGTAGGCTAATTTGACATGTATTTCGGCTAAGTGCGCACTTGATGCGACTCCAGGGTTTAAAGTAATCTTTGACTCTGAGATTGCTGCCTTGTGCCCAAACTCGACGCTTTCGATAATTGCATAGATCAATGTTGGGTGGTACAATGGTCTCCATTTACCGCGGCTGATCGTATGCATGCGGTATGATGGCTGCTCGCTCTGTAATCGAGACCATTCGTCAAGGAGTAGAATAGTGAGGCTTTCATGAAACGCAAATCGGCCCTATCGATTTCAGTAACGATCGTATCAATATCAAACTCCAGCGATAACCCAACGCCTCCCAAAGTGCCACTCAATTGAATAGACCTTGCCCACCAGCAAGCCTGACAAACTCAAGCGGCACATTCTCACCACACAGAGTGCTGAATGTTTCGGTAAAAATGCGCATGCGAATGTCGATGGCAGAATAAGCAGTCCATCCCAAAGATCGAGCGTACGACACAGCGTTTGCCTTGCACTCGTGGCCGTCTGACAAGTCAATGAAAATCTTCCCCGTACGATGCGACTTTCGAACATCGACCGAGTAATGCTTCAAGACAGGTGTTGCCATCAATGACTTGTCGGCTGATAGAGCAGATACGACCACAAACGGCAGCTCTCCATTCCTCATGTCTTCAAGACCCCGAAGCTGACGAGTGTGGGTGCCGGTGAACTCTGTGGCATCGAAGCCGATGGTGTTGATGGACTCCATKTTCAGACTTGCCAAAGCATACAACGCCGCCGCTGCCTGTGCTTCGGTGTTTGCGAGAACAAGTGCGGTCTTGCCAGCGAACGCACCGGGAGTGAACTCTTGAGTCAACGCAGAGCGAATCGCTTTCCACGTCACATTCTCTGCGGTAAACGTCTTCCCGCTCTTTGAGGTCCGTACCGCGATGGTGTCGACTTGTCCGATTGCAGACGCGGCTTCTGTCAACGTCGGAAGATACGGTGCCGAATCGACAGTTTGTGGTGGGTCAATGTACGCACCGCAAAATTCGACCTTGGACATGCATGAGGCAATGGATGCACGATTTGCCTGATCCACGCGAAGAAGTCTGTGCGGTAGACTGAGCTCATTGAGGCACTTTTCAAAGAACATGCCATTGAAATGGGAGCGACCGATTGCATATATGTCTTGCTGTGGTCTCTGACCCATGGAATGAAGCATAGAGTTGATCTGTTGCGCGTCAGCTTTGGACCCTTGGAACTACACTGTCATAGAGCTTACCTCTGCTGCACTGAGCTGACCAGGAGCAGCTATCACTGGTAATAGCGGGTGGGTGATAGGTGTGAAGACCTTGTTAAGGGTACGAGACATCTGTCCAATGGAGCTCATATTAAGTCCAGACAGAGGCGGACTGGCATGAGCGCTTTGCACAGTCGATCGAAAGTATTCCAGCTCATAATTGTCGTCCATGGTGTTGATGAATGCAATCATCTTCACAACGTCACCCCAAACAGCACCCTCTTCAAAGAGTCGCTGCGCATGTGTTGAGGTCCACTTGAAAGTTCCGGAGTAGTCATGCCAGGCAGATATAATCTTGCTATTTCCTTTCTCGGCTGCGAGCTTACGCCTGATCGGTTCTGGCAACCAAAGCTCAACATCGATGTATTCACAACCCCATTGTATCGCTTTACGGAGATACTTGTAAAAGAGAGCAGGATCGTCCATTGGAAATCGTCCATTTTCATTGGTGCACCGCGTGGTGAAGATGATTGGAAGGCTAGTTCGTTGACGCAGGAGCATGACCTGCTCTCCAACATATCTGTTGAATTAAGCAGTTAGCATTTGATCATTCGCATGCGTGCTCAAGCGAGGAAGCCCTTGCTACTGCGCTTTTTGGTCGATCAAGAGACGTGTGGCGCGTTGATGCCAAGTATACGTACTTCAGACTCGGTACAGCTTCAAACTGGTCATGCATAGATGGATCCCTGAGCAAATCCACTCGAAGCTCCACGGCATCAGCACCGACTGTAAGTATTTCGAGGTTCGGCAACGCATCCCGAATGTCAGCAAAGGTCGTGGAGAGCAGGGTGCTGCGGTCCTTCCGCATAAGATCGTAGTGCGGTACAACATGTCCAAGCACAACTCCAAGGAAGCGGGTCAGGTCCTTGCGCGTTGTGGCGTCGTCCTCGGTGTAGAGGAATTCATAGTCGCAGAACAAACTCAGCAACTCGTTTCTCAAGTCTTGCTTACAAACACAGTGCGTGTTGAGGAGTGTTCGGTCCAGCGTTCGCAAGCCATCTGGATCCGTAATCCAACCATTCTCTACTCCAATGACAGCCTCTCCCGACCCGTTCATAACATCCTCTGGGCATCCCACGAAGCGACAAGTCTGTCCCAGAATCTCGGCAGCAATCCTGGCGATATTTTCCTGACCCTTGTCGAACAACACGAGCAGACGCGGAGGCTCATTGTCAATGATCTCTTGGATCCTCATGACCTTATCATTGGGTTTAATCATGGCAATAGGGAACAGTTTCCACTGTCACCCGAAGAATTTAGTTTTGTCTGTGCCTCTGCGTCTGCCCGTCACCTAATCGAAATGTCCGACGCTCCGTGCTTTAAAATCAGTTAGCGAGTGTTTCCTCATACTTTGCTTGGATGTCTTATACCCCCAGGTGAACGTTGGTGGTTTTGCGGGTCTGCTGTGCGCTGGAATGTCCTAGCCAAACACACATTGCTGTATGCAGTCGATACGGAGTCCACAGAGGTAGATTCTGGACGACTGCTGTTCAGGTAGTGGCGCTCTTTAAGTTGTTCAACATTAACGTGCCGGCAAATTTGATGAGGATCTCTGTGTATAGATGGAAATGGTTGAGAAGTGATTGCCTACGTCGTCTGAAGTTCAGCCGGGTCAAGGTCTGGTCGCATCCTCCCAGCGGGCAAATACTTTACTGCGCGCGGGTGTATGTCAGCGATAGCTCTCCCACGCCGCCGGACGTGGTTAAATGGAAAGAGGCGTATCTTCCACCAATTGCTGTGTGGCGAAGATCTTGAAGGGGTGGTCTGTATTCTACCAACGTCTAGCCCGATTCGGCTAATACGTACCCAGGTAACGGTCGTTATGTAGTGTGAAATAAGCTCTGAAATAGGTTAGCCTTACGTTGTAGTGGGCAACTAGTCGTTAGTGGATTGCAGGTAGAGCTATATTCTACTAAYGTGTCGCTCGTATAGCCTCGTATACGCTAGAGTTAGTAGAGTTAGTAGAGTTCGTAAAATTACTAAGTTAAGTCGATTACCGGTATAAGAGCTGCTTTCTTATCTACTACTATAGATTGTTCTTATCGCTATTTCCTTAGTAAACGTACTACCCTTACTACCTCTAATATTACTACCCTTATTAGCTCTAATATTACTACCCTTAGGTCCTATTACCCTTACTACCTACCTTCGTACTATTCGTATCTAATTACTATCTACTATCTACGCTCTTTTAGTAGTGTTTATACGCCTTCGCGACGCTAGTAGTCTCTTACTAGGTCCTATATAGCGAATTRCCTATTAAATTCGAYAACCTCCGGAGGTAGTTTATATAGTAATAGAGTTAGTAACTGCTATAGGAGCTAGCTCGGCTACGCGGTAGATTTATCGTTAATATTAGTAACCTATCGAAGGCTCGAGTAGCCGTAGCCGTTTCGAATACGTATTAGTATTTCGGTAATAAAGTTACGGCTTACTTAAGTAAGAGGGAACTCGTTTATAATTACTACCGTCGAGGGCGTGTCGAACTTACTAAGCTCTATATTAGTGTCTTTATCTATTAAATAAGCAAGCGTATTATCGATAGCTTTACCGAGCGACTCGGTATTATCGCCGCCGCGCTACTCGGAGATAGTAAGAGCGCTACTTAAGAGCGCCGCTTCGTAGCTATAGGCGAGGGTATTAATGTATTAATTACGCTCCGCCTTCGTAAGCTCTATAACTATAACGTCCGCTTATCGATAGAACGTCTCCTTAAACTACTCGATAATTATATATATTAAAGTGTAGTAATTACGCTCGAGCGGCTAGTATTAGTATTAGCGCTACTTTTAACGGCTCTCGTCGTTAATACGCTCGCTCGTTCCCTCCGCTACTAGTATATCGCTTTCGTTAATCCGCTACTTACGGTAATAATACGTAGTATTAATACTAATAAAGCGGTTAATATACGTAGCGGTTTAAACAGTAGTAAGCTCGTTACCGTCGTAGTAGGCATTAAACTATATATACCTATACGGTATTTGTCGATAATGTAGAAACTGACACTTCTACTGATCATAGTGTCGTACTCTAGTAGTGATGTGCTGTTAGTTTGCGATGTCTTCATGACAGCTTTTACGAAGGGGCTTAGGTGGTTCGAAATTCAGGCTTTTGTGGACCTCCATGGCYCGCGAAGTCAAGGTTGCCGGCCTAACTACAGCAGTCAAAGATCTGGTACTTTTGACTCTCCGCAACCCTGCATCTTCTTGTGCTTGTAGCTACCTGTTCTGGATCGGTTTTCGTCGGTTCACTAAAAAGAGAGCCGGCAAACTTCAAACTATCGGGCCTCTCTCGCGTCGATGACACGACAGCTTATGCATAGCATACGTATTGAACGCTCAGCCGAGTGGCAGCGCTTCGAGAGCAGCCGTGAACCGTATCTTGTAGGGATGATCACCTCCCCGGAAGTCGCTGATAAGGCTACCGAKCCCATCGAGCAGTTCCCGCACTGTGACCAAGCGTTCATCATGCTGTTCCAAGTCAATCGGCAATATCGGTGTGTCCATGCTGATCCGTGCGGAGCTCACAGCGACTATGGTACCCATCGCCACATCGTGCACTTTCTCAATGAAGCCAACGCCGTGAACCTCCATAGATGAAAGTGCAAGACTGTTGCAGTAGCTCAGCACTGCGAGAGCAACACGACATGCAAAGTCGAATCGTAGTTCGCCATGATCCGAGTCTTCCAACAGGAGCTGATGTGACAGACATAGATTCCAGAGTCGATTGAGGAGCCAGAACTGCGTGATGACAAGGTCTGCTCGTTGTGTCTCAAGTAGTTGGGAGAGCGGAAGTGGAGTCACCGATRGCGCGAAAGAAATGTTACCGGATGTGCATGCTTCACGAACCCTGCGCTGAGCTCTGAACATCTGTAGAGCTCGGCGCCGATCGAAGTTTTCACAAACCCCGTCACTGAGTCTGCAAAAGCCATTCCAACAATCCATGATGACCTCATCAATTGCGTCGAAAGTGTCCATGAGGTAGAGGAGACCTGTCATACCCACAGAGTCTGCCCGATCCTGGTAGATGAGCGATGAAATGTCGCTCTCAAAAGAATGCATGAAGCTGAAACGCGCTGTCATTCCCGGCTGTCCTCGGAAGCTGATTGCATGATTCTGTTGAAGAGCATATGCTCTTTCTGTGACGGAAAGAACCAGGTATGTACGAAGCCACTGCTCCTTGGCCTCGTTGGCCAGACTAAGGTACGAATCCGGTCGATGTAGACCTAGCGAGTATGCAAGATCCACTGCCTCCCTCAGCCTGTGTCGTGCGGCATTATGCTTGCTGTCGCCAAAGAGACATGCAAACAGGAAGAAGCTCGTGAGGGCCATCTCGATAGTCGGGATCTCGCCAAACTCGGCAGAAACCCGCATACGGACACACTCTTCCATCAGCATTCGAGCTTGCACTGCACGAGAAGGCATCGAAGCTCGTTCATGTATCTGTACAGGCTGTGTCATGGCAAAAGCACAGAGTCCGAGCAGCATTGATCCGTAGTGCGGGTCTGTACGATGCTTACGCAGAAGCATAGCCGAGTATATGTTGGTACGATTGAGAATGGGTATCGTTGGATGCAGTCTTTTGAAGTACACATCGATCCAAGGAAGCAGCGTCGTCTCATTTACTCTAGCCGGCCATACATCTACCGTTTCTGGGGGTATCGGTAACTCATGTTCAAGAATTGAGCCAAATTGATTCGCCGAGCCAGAAGGCGATTCGGCTGGGAGACTGGGAAAGATAAAGTCACCAGGGCTAGCCATAATGCTCTCACCAGTCGAATAGGGGTATTGCTGGGTCTGATAAGCGTAGCTGCCAGGACCAGATTCAGTGGAGCCTTCGACGGAGGTACTTTGCAGCCACGATGCCGCTCTACCATCAACAGGGACAGTGGAACGAACTTCAGACATCGATGGACTCTGGAGTGGACGCGCTGCCTCGCGCTCGGTTTTGGACAGGCCTCTTTGATGGAGACGTATCTCTGACAGGCGTTTACTAGCCGGGCCACGTTTCTTTCTCGCTCTATCATAAGTACAATCGGAGCCCTTGGCCGAGCATGTCACACATGGAATCGTCATGTCGCACCGTACCTGCGGCCGCAAGGTCAGCGAATGATGGATGATTGATTGACGGTGAAAGTTTGGTGGTCCGGTTCGTGCCTTACTTTCTTGCTTTTGCACTGATCGCACGCCCGATCAGACGAAGATTTCGGCTTGCCATCATGGTGGACTCCGCCACCGACGGTGTCCCATGTAGCGAACATGTCGCGTCGTGCATCTTTGGTGTTCGGATGAAGGAAGCAAGGTGGAGGAGGCAATGTGAAGGTGACCTGGGAAGTTCAAGGTACTCCGCATCCCCACAATTTCACACGTGCGTTTTCACACGTGGACACACGTGGATAATTCAAGAGCACTACCCTAACCCTAATCCTCCAACTGCTTTTTTGATACGACGACTACATCCAATTACAAGACCAAGACTACAGCTCCGTATGGCCCCAATACCACACCATCATCCCTGAGTTCAGATTTGCCATTAGTGGCGAGGGCTGCACATCGAGCGTACTTCTCCAACGATACCGCCTGCTCACGATCAGAAAAGTTGAGCAGCACGATCGCCCGCTTCCCGGCCTCATCTTGCCTTTCCCATCCCATCACCATCTCTCCAGTAATCTCCTTAGGTATAGCACGATAGCTCCCATAAACGAGCAGGTCCTTATGCTCCTTTCTTAAAGCGATCATCTTCTTGTAGAACGACAATACACTCTCAGGATCATCGATCTGGCTCTCGGCATTCCACTCTACGTAGTCTTTATTCACCGTCATCCACGGTTTACCGGGAGGTAATATTGCCGAGAAACCAGCATTCGCAGAGGAATSCCACTGTACAGGTAATCGACCATGATCCCGAGCTTTGAGCGACATCTCCCTCAGGACATCGTCCATACTGGACACGTCCCCACCGCGCTGCTGCAGGATTGCATTGTATGCATTCTTCGCTTCCACATCGATGTATTCTTCGGCAGGATAGTCTTTCCCAAGGTTTGCCATGCCAAACTCTTGCCCGGCCAAAAGGTAAGGAGTCCCCGCGAGAGTGGTGAGGTAGATGGCAAACAACTTTGCTGCAGCTGCACGATGCTCTGGCTTGTCTGAGCCGTATCTTGAAAGACTCCTACCACTATCATGGTTGTCCAGATACACGCTATTCCAACCATTGATCTTTGGCATGGCGTTTTGCCACATATTTGTGATGTGCCGGAGTCTTGAGGGGTGAAAGTCGTTGCGGGAGTACTTTCCGTTCGGTCCAAAGTCTATGTCAACAATATCTCCAGTAAAGACCATGTCAAGCTCATGCCTATCTTTGGCAACATACTCGGAGACAGACTGCTCGTCTTTGGTGAATCCTAGCTCGCCAACAGTCATGATGTCGTCGTACTGATCCAACACCTGTCGTAACTCTCGAATGTAGTCGTGCATCCTTGGTCCAGAAGCGAAAAACTCGGAGCCATCCTGATACTCGGAGTCGGTATCGGTAATCTTGCCATCCGGCAGGTCAGGGTGCTTTGACATGAGGTTCATGCTGTCGATACGAAATCCACGTACACCACGATCAAGCCAGAACTTGATATCATCATATGTTGCTTGTCGCATTTCCTGATTCTCCCAATTGAGATCTGGTTGTGACGGAAGAAACAAAGCAAGGTAGTATTGCTGCGTCGTTTCGTCGAAATGCCAGGCGCTACCTCCAAAGATGCTCCTCCAATTGTTGGGCTCCTTGCGGTTGCCTTGTTCATCGTACTTGGCATCTCTCCAGAAATACCAATCACGCTTTGGATTGTTTTTCGAGCTGCGTGATTCTTTGAACCAGACATGTTCGTCACTGGTGTGGTTTACTACCAGATCCATGAGTAGTTTGATCTGGTTGTTTCGAAGCTCATCGATGAGCTTTTGGACATCATCCAGAGTTCCATACGCTTCGTGAATGTCACGATAGTCAGATATGTCGTACCCTTAACGAATAGATCCACAGTCAGCTTTACCTCCTTCTAGCAGATCCAGGTTGGCTATCAATGCTTACCCATGTCCCTTTGTCTGCAGAAGAGGATTAGCAGTGACATCTTGAGTAGTCTGAACACGGTCTATACTCACGGTGATTTATAGATCGGTGACATCCACACTGCATCGACTCCCAAAGATTTGATGTACGGAATCTTGGAGATGATTCCAGGAAGGTCACCCAGCCCATCGCCGTTGCTGTCTTTGAAAGATGCTGGATAGATCTGATAGACCACGCTTTCTTTCCACCATGTCCTTTCGACCGCGAGACCGACCATGATTGCAGCAGCTTTTCGTAAATTCCAGTGCTTGCGGGAGGATGGTATTGAACAGGCAGAGGAGATCGCTGCCGGTCTCAGAGTCTTGATGCACTCTTATTGTAATGGAAGACCAGTTGCTTTCGATTCTTGTTGGTTACAGCCGAGCATAAGGTGTGCCACTTCCCATGGAACCATGAGCAAGAGTTTCGCCGACGCGGCACTTGGAAGCGTCCCCCTTTGGGAAATCTTGCGGGGCTAGAGTTTCTCCAGTCGGACCGACGTGTGAAGCCACTTTCGCACCCGATATCCCACGTGCAATTGTCCCCATAGCTCAGAAGGTGAGTGGGAGCCGGGGAACACCATAGCTCCACGAGACATGAAGCAGAGCTAGTCAAGTAGCCTCCTTTGGCGGGCGCCTACACGCTCATCTGACCTCCTCAAGGCCGATGCGACGAAGCGCCATCCAAGCAAAAGTCCTAGAGAGCCGTACATCGGTAGATAGTATCGTAACTCTGAAGAGTGAGAAATTATGCAATGACGCTGACTTCCAGCCAAATCACGCTTTTCCGTTGCAGTCTATGAAGAAACACTGATACCATCCCAAAGTGTCGCACTCACCAGCTCGCTCGGTACATCCGCGATACCATTCACAAGCTCATCGGCGAAGAAACGCAGACCAAAAGTCTCCTCCGCAGCATAAAGTCTTGTCGAAATTGCCGTTCGACCATTGACGAAAACTTCCAAAACGGAATTATCCCTCCAAGCTCTAATGTGCAACATTTCTTGCTCATACCTGCCGGTTACAGGATCACGCATGGTGAAGAGAGTATGAGGAGCCTGCTCAGGTGCGCTGCTTATCAATTCTGGGGAATTGAGGACTGGGAAAGCTGGTCTGTTGATTGTCAAGGTCTCTTGGTACTRGTCGAAGAACAAGCTGGTGGAGCGAGAGTAGTCGCCACTGTGATCGATGCTGAATCCGATGTATTGTGTACGCTTAGACACCTTGAACAAGCAATCAAGTTCCCAAGAAGTAGTCTTGATCTCGTGAGACTTGAATCCAACGTCGAACACTCCGCTGGTAAGCTCCTTGTTTCGCAGATCCGTTCGATGAACATTGGAACCTTTCCGAAGCTCTTCTACGAGCGGTCGGTAAGGTTGACTGGTAAGTGTTCGAATGGTGAACGATCCAAATTCATCTGGGGTCCGATGTACCGACGTTATGTCGAAGAGGTCACTCCTGGAGGCTCCCACGACGTACTGCAGGGACTGCACACTGAGCTCACGCGGCATCGAGAGAAGCCCACTCCAGCCTTGAGCGTGTCGCAGCTCGTCACAAAGGTCTTCCTCGGTGATCCATCCCCAGACGACTTGCTTTTGTGTCTTTGGGTCGTAAAAGGAGTTCGCAGCATACATACATCCATGGTCGAGATGTCCCCCGTAATCATACGTCATCTCCACAGGACCGGCGAAGGTAGTCCTCGAGACTGGTCTTTGCAAAGTCCCTGCCATCCAAAGTTGCCCTCGTGCGGGGCGCGAAGGACCGGGACCTTCAGCAACAGAGGCAGGTGAGGTTGACAAACAACCTTCGGTGCCCATAATGAGCATATCCCACTCAAGCTGCTCGTCTATCTCGTCACGTAGTGTGACGAAGTTGGTAACCTCCCAATTCTTTCCGACATCGCCAGACCATCTTGAAGGGCTGAAGTTCAGGCCAAAGTTTGCAAGCGGGCCAAGATATGCCCAGCGAGTCAAGTCGTTGGCGTCGATGGAGTACAGGAACGATGTGGGACACAAGTCCCGTATACCTCCAGAGACAATGCCGAACAGTGTCTTCGATTCATCCGTACCGAGGATACTTGCCATGCGAGGCCATGCAGAAACGAAAGGGTCTCTCCATCCAGTAACTTCGACACCAGCAGGCTCACATGGTAGGATGGGATTGGCATCGATCTTCTGCCATGACCTACCACCATCGAAAGACTTTGCCAAGCTCAAGGACTCCGACCCTCTGACATGCTGAAGCGTATGATGAATCGGTAGATGATTGACAGAAGTATAGGCATATGTGAGTGATCCATCCCGCGCATTGATCAAGCAACCAGTAAAGACGCCCTTGTCATCGTATGGTCTATCTGGTGACAGACAAGGAGTTTCGCGATACGTCCAGTGGATCAAGTCAGGAGAAGTGGCAGATCCCCAGGCTATATCTCCCCAATCATCTCCGTTGGGATTAACTTGATATCCAATGTGATACAGACCAGTTCTGGGATTGAATCCAGGGGCACAAGGATCGTTCATCCAACCACTTGCAGCCATGACATGGTACGAAGGCCGCCATCTTTGGAACCTCTCCTGTCTGCTCAGAGAAYCTTGTTTGTCATTGGCAAAGTCTTCATTTCCTTCTGCTGGTGAATTGCTTGTTCCAACGGACGAGATAGGGGTGAGGTCCGTCGACGAGCTACTAGAATCGGTCGTCTCTGCCATGATGTCTTGCTAGTCAAAGCTCTTCAKGTTGGTCTGGCAGGAGAGTGAGGGAACAGGACCTCAAAAACGTCTCCAGCGTAGCAGCGAAGACATGCGTCCATTCCAGCAAGACCAAGGGCCAGTCCGCCTTCTTCCGACACTAGCTCACAATTGTGGATCACAGATGGAGGCGGGGATACCCCAGAGCGGGTAAACGAACGCGGGATCCGGAGTTTTGTGGAGGTGCCGAACGGCGAAACTGCCCTCTTTGAGATTAGTCCACAGTCCTGTACAGAGATTCGCCGAAGCCACGAGTTCTCCACGACTCCAGGTTTCGACGTGCGACTTGCAGCGGCCACGAGAGAGTATTCCGGTACATAAGATGTCGTCTGCCGTGCCCTTGCAAATCGCGGTAGCCAAGAACATCCTCACTCCGAGTTGACCTCTTCCAAACACTCCCCTTCTCATTTCTTTGGAAAGCACAATCCCTCAATTTCAGACTCAAAAGGGCTGACCACCATGACTGGCTTGGAGCTGGAAAAGAACAATGCGGTCCACGTCGAGAATGAATCCATCTCAAATGTATCTTCGAAAGCGGAGCCTACAAGCAGGATCAATCTTTCAGCCAAGCAGCAGTACAAACAGCTCTGGACCGCTCTGAAAGCCGATTCCCGGTACAGTTGGTGGGCGCTGTACTGTATGCTTCTCGTATTCGGTTGGGGATATGACGCAGGCCTCTCGGGTGTCGCCATCGCATTTCCAGAATTCCGAGAGGTGTATGGAAACTACTACGCCCCTACGCCACAAGAAGGTCAATGGGTTATTCCAGCTCTCTGGCAGTCCCTCTGGAACGCAGCATCCACCATCGGTCAGGTCTTTGGTGGTTATGCTGCGGGTCAATTCGCAGACATGGTTTGTGGCCCCTGTTCGAACCTGGAGCTCTCTGAGATATTCGCTGACACTTCTGTCCGCAGGTCGGCCGCAAAGCACTGCTATACACAGCTGTGCTCCTCTCCCTCAGCGCCTCTTTCGCATTGGTCTTTGCGCCTAACCTCCCGGTCCTTTTCGTCTCTAAGCTTCTGCTGGGTCTTTCGGTCGGACTCTCCACCGCTACTCCTCCACTATACGTCACGGAAAATGCCCCAGCCGCGCTTCGTTCGACATTCTCTTCGCTTACCAACGTGGTGATTGTGCTTGGATTCTTCTGCTCCTCCCTCACTGGCTACGGGTCGTCCAAGATCCAAGGCGTGTGGTCTTTCAAGCTGGCCTTTGTCATGACTTTCGTCGTGCCCGCTTTGTACTTGATTGGCCTTCCTTTCTTCCCRGAGTCGCCTGTATATCTCGTCAAGAAAGGCCGGGAGGAGCAAGCACGCAAGGCCATCCTGAGGCTGTATGGTGGAGGTGCTGATGTAGCCGGTATTCTGGCCACCATCAAGAAAGAGTTGCACGAAGAGGAGGCCACATCTTCAGGCGTTAGCCAGACTACCTGGAAAGCCATTTTCTCCAAGGAACACAGGACCAGGACCTTCGTGGCTGTGCTCGGTCTCCAGTCCCAGAACTTCTCCGGTGGCTATTTCGCAAACACCTACCAGACCTACTACTTCGAGCTCATCGGCCAGAGCGATCCATTCCAGCTTACGGCCATCTCCTCGACCTTGCAATTCTTCTCCAACTTCGTCGCCGTCGCTCTTGCAGACGTCATTCCTCGCCGTAAGGGTCTCATAGGAGGTGGAGTCATACTCATGTTTTGGTCGGTGGTCATCGCTGGCTGCTCAATGGCGTCGAAGACGAACGATGCGGCTGTCACTGCTCTGCTGGCATTTATGATAACTTRGTCCATGTTGTACACGGCGACAGTGGTAAGTGAGCCTGCCCTGCATGTTGCGATGAAGTGTGCTGACCAACTCCAAGGGATGCTACGGCTGGGCTGTTGCTCAAGAGACGTCCGCACAAGCCACACGCCCAAAGACCATCTCCTTCGTCCTGGTCTGCCAGCAGCTCACAGCCCTCATGCTATCCTCGGTCTTTCCATACTTCATCAACCCTGATCAGCTGAATTGGGGAGGTAAGATCATGTTCCTCTTCGTGGGAGCTGAGCTCTTCRTCATGGTCGGCTTGTGGTTTTACCAACCAGAGACGAAGAATCGCACCAATGTTGAGATCGAAGCACTGTACGCGAGCAATATTCCTGCTCGCAAGTTCAACTCGTTTGAGGTGGTTGATGGGCAGGTCGTGGAGAGGCAGCAGAGCACTGGGTTTCTCGAACGATTCTCGAGAAAGGCATAGATACTAAGTAGAGGTGTATCAAAAATCCATCACAGCTCAAAATGGTCCCGGCGGAGAGGCTACAAGACGAGGTCGAAGATCGTATCCGCCTTGCAGAGATCATCTGGTGTCAGGCGCGGGATCATTTTCCAGGCAACCCCCGATGCGCGTGTCGAGGAAGCTCTGGCTGATATCCGTCGATCGCTCGATTGGCTACAGACCCAGCAGGCTGAGGAGGCCAGAGCCGCAAGTGAAGCCGCTTCGAGAAAGTAGCAGCGTAGACGAAGGAGGATGAGGAAGCAAGTGCTGCTGTGGACAATCGTTGGATCGGCTGAAGTCGCTAGAATGGAGAAGGGCCGGGAGGGCCCAGAAGCTTCTTCTAGATCCACAGGGCCTTTCAATTGTCGTCATCGTAAGGTACGGGGCATCTTCGTGGCCAAGGGCGTGGTGGAATTGTCGTCGTGCGTGGATGGGCCGCGCTTTGTCGCCATGCTTCCGTCGCTCGTTAGCAGCGGTAGGGGTGGATCACCAGTTCTCCTCCATTGTTTCCGGCTGGACCTCAGCGTCACCGTCAATGAAGACCGTCCCTGACTTCCTGAGCACCACTGAGGAGCTCGTCGGCGTCGCTTTCGATCGCAGTCTCGATGGTCTCCGTCATGTCCTCCCCCTCCTCCAGGTTGGGCTTGGGTTGCTTCAAGGGGGAACAGCGGGGTTCGTCGTCAGTATCGAAGTGCGGAGACTGACTGTCGAAGCAAGGTAGTAAGGCCGCGTTCAAAATCGCGTTGTCGCCGCCCAAGGTTGGAGGAAGCTGGTCTCCAAGTTTCAAAGTACTTTTTCCAAAATCACCATGTCCGTCGTAATGGATGAGATCTTGCATGATTGATGGTTTGCTATCGTAGATGTTGGTGAGGAGGACGGGGTCGCGGCGGCCACGTTCGATTGTGCAGTCGGGGGAGTCCGTCCGACGACGACGACGACGACGAAGTGTTGGTATGACATGTGCCTTGTTTGTTGTTGCAGTCCGTCGAGAAGGGATGGCTTCATCCTCAGTGATGCCCTCATCGGACTGAGAATCCTCGTCAGACTAATCATCATCGCCATCATCAGCGCTTCTCTCTCCTCGGGGAGGACTCGACCTTCAACTCCGCCAGCGCCGCAACAGTATCACACTTGCTCTAATTCCGGCTTGCGACTCCTCTCCTTATTCCCGATCTTCTTTTGCTTTCGCTTTTGCCTCGAGTACTCCAATCCCCATCCCAATCGACTTCGATCCGCAACGGCTCATGCAATCTCCACATAACCATTCTTTCATCAACGCGGACGGAGACTGAGATCTTCCGATACTACAAAGCGACGGAAACGTACGTCCAACAACTTTGGGCATACCAGGTTGGAAAAACAGAACGCTAGAGATCCTGTTTAAGCACATCAGCTAACAGAAGAAACGTTTGAGAAAGGTGAGAGAAGAAATAGCTCCGAGAAGAGAGAAGAGAGCTGCAAGCCGCGATGCCCGACAGATTCGTCAGTCCCGCCGCCCAAAACCCCAGCAAGCTGAAAAGGGATATTCTCATCCATGGAAGTATCTCCCTCCACGCTTGAGATTCGGGGTCCGGACGGCGACGGCGGCGGTGTTTCATCCGGTCTACGTTTGTGAATGTCCCAACACAAGCAGCGATTACAAATACAAACTCTGCGCCGCAACAATGTCCCTCCGAACCTTACCCAACGCAGCCTCAAACTTTTGCTCCAACTCCTCACTACCCATGACCTTGGACGCCTGCGCAATCTGTCTTAGCAATTCTTCCAGTCTCCGGAAGAGGCGGATGAGGGAGCCCTCGTAGACGTCCGTCATTTTGCTGCAAATCACAAGTTAGTGATGTACCAACACAACTCCCACATCTCAACACAACTCACCAGATATCAGCAAAGCTCGCGCCCTTGGTCCAAGCAAACACAACCTCCATCAGCTCGCTCTTGAAAGTGTTCAGATACTCCTCCTCGTTAAGGAGGACCTTACTCTCCATCGAGATCTTCGCTACAATCCTCGCCTGGGCTTGAATTTCTCGGAAGGGCTTCGCAAGCTCTTCACTGAGCGGAGGTGCTTCATCACTCTTCTCCTCGAATATAAAGGCACTGAGGACAGCGGCGCATTGCTCCGGTGTGAGCTCGTTGAAGAACCGGTTGAATAGGAGCTCGGAGAGCACCAATTCGTCACCCGTGGAGATTTCACATGCTACACGAGCCTTCAGCTGGACGACATCTTGATCATTGATGAAGCCCATCCGGCGGAGGACACGCTTGCGGTTCTTGAGTTCATCCATCTGGAGGACGCTGAGAGCATCTCCAATCTTCTTCCGCGTAGCCTTGATCTCCGTGCCTAATAGAACTTTTGAGTGGTACTGATCGTAGAGGGCGGCCAATTGATCCGACTTGTGGAGCGGATGGCTCAGCATCTTATGCTCCAATACCTCAATCTTTCGAAGCAGCTTCTTGAAGGACTCATCTGTGATGCCCATGTTTTCAATAGGATCAAGAATCGCCACACCGTCAGGGAAGCGCTTGGCGACTTCTTCCAAGGCCTTGCGGACCGCGTTTCGCTGCTCGGGTGTGCGAAGGTCGTTGGGCAGGAAGACACGAATGTGGCCGACCGAGTCAATAGTGCCGTTCATAACAGGAACGACCTCCATCTTGCCCTTCTCACCTGGAAGAGGTGGTCGCACTCCAGGCGGAAGATCTTCTGCGGACTTTGATCCAGGTTGGGTCGACGGGCTATCTGCCGCAACATTCAAAAGCACGTCCACCACTACCGAAGCAGAAGGCTTGATGTCTTCCTCTTTGAGATGCTTGCTAGGCTTGATCTTCATGAAGTTACACACCGCTCCCCAGCCAAAGTCGTAGTCTTTGTATTTGATCTTCACCAAACGTCCTGCTTGTAGGAATTTGAGAAGGTATTGTGGATGTGTGATGACTTCGCGCATGTCGCTGCCGTATTTGGTGAGATATTGGCGGAGGTCGTAGTACTCCTTGATCTCAGCCTCATTCTCAATCACAATATCCGCGTGCTTCTGCTCCAATTCAACAATCTGCTTTTCCAGCCCGGTGACAGAGKCGGCATTCTGGAATTGGTAGAAGCAGCGCTCCAGCATAAACTCTGGACTGATACCCTCGACACGCATGAGGTTAAGAATCATGTTGTGGCCCAGGTAGAAGGCGCTGTTGAGCTTGTCCTGCTCGCCACGAACAATGTCTTTGGCAGCCACGGGATCCATCTTTTCCTCGATCATCATAATGACAATACCGCGATCATCGAGACCTCTTCGTCCGGCACGTCCAGACATTTGGATAAACTCGCTAGGTGTGACGTAGCGGAGAGCGATGCCATCGAATTTGCGAACAGATGTGAAGACGACTGTCTTCGCAGGCATGTTCAATCCGATGGAGAAGGTCTCGGTGGCGAAGAGTACCTTGATAAGACCTTCTTGGAAAAGGATTTCAATCGTCTCCTTCAGGATGGGGAGGAGTCCTGAGTGATGAATACCGATACCGCGGCGAAGGAGTGGAAGGAGGTGCTGAATTTGTGGAAGTTCCTTGTCCTGATCGGAAAGCATCTCGATTGCTGAGCTGAAAACCTTGGACACCATGGCCTTTTCAGAATCGTCGTTGAAAGCGAGTTGACTCATCTGGAGCGCATAGTTTTCGCAATCACGCTTAGAGAAGGAGAACACAATGACAGGATTGTAGTTCTTCATCATGATCATCTTGACGATCTTGTAAATGTCGGTTGGACCCTCGTTACGACCTCCCTTGTTGACCTTCTTGTCCTTGCCTTTGCCTTTCCTCTTCGCCAGAGCGTTGGAGCCGTCGTCGCCAGCCTTGTCTGCAATGGCAGACATGGCCTTGTTGAAGTTGTCTTCTCGGAAGGTACCCTTTTCGTCCACCACCAGATGGATGCCATCCGCGCCGGCAGGGAAGAAGTAGTGTTGCAGAGGTGTGGGTCGGAAGTCGGTGTAGWCAACGTGACACGGTTGATTGTGAGTCTTGACGATCCATTCGGCGAACTGCATAGCGTTGGGGATGGTGGCCGAGAGGAAGACGTAGCGCACCTTGTCGGGCAAAAGGATGATGGTCTCTTCCCAGACGACACCTCGCGTCTTGTCACGCAGATAGTGCACCTCGTCGAAGACGACCCACGCCACTTCGCGCATAATCTCGCTTCCGCGGTACAGCATAGRGCGCAAAATCTCAGTGGTCATGACCAGGCACGTAGCCGTAGGGTTGATTGTGACATCGCCAGTCATCAAGCCGACATCCCCAAACTCGGCCATGAACTCTCGATACTTCTGATTGCTGAGCGCCTTGATAGGAGAGGTGTAGATGACGCGCTGGTTGTCGCGAAGACATTGCGCAATGGCATATTCGGCGACGACCGTCTTACCAGCGGATGTATGCGCCGACACGAGGACGCTTTCATTTCGTTCAATCGACATGATGGACACCTCTTGGAAGGGATCGAGGGTGAATGGCCATGTACGCGCCGGCTTTTCGGGTCTCTTATGCTGTGAGATGGGCACATAGTTGCTATCCGGGGGAAGCGCGACCTGGTGGCGGACTTGATGGGATAGCACCACCGCTTCGTTGTCCTGTTTGGCCTGTAATCCTGCTGCTGCTGCCACTTCCCGCGATTGTTCCGTCTCAAACTCATCCGTCACTACCGCCTGCGGCTCCTCCTCCCTCCGCTGTCGCTTCTGGTCGCGGTCTTCGCCAGCATCGTTATCCTCCATGTCGACATCCTCTTTTACTGCTGGCAGATCCACTCCTCCGTTTGATGCATCTTGCGCGGCAGGTGATGCTGCGTCGGCATTTTGTGATGAATTCTGCTTCTCGCTTTTGATGTCGCCGTTCAGCGACCGCTTCTTGCTTGCGGCGGCGCCTTTGCCCTTGCCGGCCTCTTCAAATACGTCGAACAAATCGTCGTCCATGCTGCGCCGGTTCTCAACGTGGATGGATGTAGTGTGAAGCTAGCCTTGTGGTGGATGTGAGATGTTTGACTGGGAGCTTTTTTGATCGTCAATCGATCGCGATCGGCCGGCAAAACTGCGGCGCGCCATTGAACGTGATGGATCGCGACTGCCACTCCGCCACTTCCTCTTCCTCTGTCTTCCAACCCATGCGTGTCTGCCGACCACTCATTCTAATGTTAGACCAATTGACGCCTTCCTTTCGTATGACARGTATAGAACATCCTCTCAGCACAGCCCTGGCGACGCCATTTCTGTGCCTCGTCCACAACCCAACGCTGAGGTAAGATGTGAGCAACGAGACATATGAGRGCAGGCGAGGTAGGCAGGTCAGCGCGCGCGTTTTTCTCAGGTCTGATTGCCGGTTCCATCCCCCAACGACTCTGATTTCTCATACGCAAGAAACAATGTCAGAAGCAATGTCCGCCAGTCTCATTACAGCCATCACAATCGGCTCCATCACTTTCTGCGCCTTGATCGTTGGGCTAGTTTATCACATCCGCCGCTGGCAACAGAGACGCCGAAAGGCGACCTTCCGCCTTCCTCCTCCGGTACATACACGATCTTGGGAGGCTCATCATATTCAGCGACACATCCCACCTATGCCGCACATACAGTCTCCATCTACAGGACCCGGTTCGCCAGTAGAAAGTCCTGTCGTGGGTACGGCGACAGTTTATACACTTCGAAGCGTCAATGGATCAGGATCTGGCTTTCCTGTTGCACTGCGGGACGAGCATAACATCACTAGGCCTCAACATGCGAGGGTAAGGGCGCCGCGGCCGCTATATCCGGGACACATACCTTATCAGCCGCCTCGGGCTGGTGGGTGAGAGCAGTCTACATCATTCGACAGAGTCAACATCCAATATGGACCTCACTCGGCCAGCGATAGGATCTCCAATGTTGCAGTCGAATTTGCGAGATCTCCAGCAGCCGAGATCTGGTTATGCTGCAGAGCTGTGACGCCTCGTTCGAAGTTTCTTTCAGACCACCTGTCCKCTAGACGTCCCAGCCAAATTACAAATTGCACGGTTCTTTGGACACGTCGCGCGAGATGCTAAGGCTTGTGGAGAAAACGCCGTGGCCAGATCAAGATCGTACCTTGGGGAGACTGGGTGAACAATAAACTCACAACTACACCTAGATGATAGGATTCGTTATGATTTCGTGGAACCACGGCAGTGACCATGAATTGCTCATCCACCACCGGCATTCCAGTGAAAGAACGGGAGCAGAGTTTGGACTTTTGTGGATCTGCCTTTTGGTCATACATATCCCCACCTTCTTTCTCATCGCAAGACATTTTCTCTACTCACATCTCACCACCTCTCCGCTAACCAAAATCCGATCCCCGAGAGACAATTCACGAATCCAAAATCTCACCACAGACACCCCAGTCAAAATGCTACCTTCAAATTTGCAAAGACTTAGTCGCGTTAGCCACGCTGCGAAGAAGAATTCTCCAATCCCGAAGATCGTGGTCCCTGTCCGCGGGACTCTCCTGCACGGTGCGCGCAATAACATCAGCCAAAGTGCCAACTTCAAGCATCCCGGCAGCACTAATCGTCGCCGTCATCCTCCTTCATACGACTATCAATACGAAAAGCTCGCCACAGCCAAAGAGCTCGACCAAAGTACCGGATGGCCCGGGAAGACCGCCAAGTCAACCACCACAAAGCATTGGTCCGACAAGCCAACCGCAGACAGCGATGGGAACTACCTGCATCCCCAATTTCACGAATCACTTGCGCTCTTCAAAACCCTCAAGGACGACGAGGGCAAGCTCTTCGATGCTCGCTTCTTCAGATTTCTCTTGTCGAGCCCTCAACTTACCGAGTTCACGTCCGACTGGAAGCCTGGCTGTGCTGACGACATCGAGGCGTATCTCGCGTCACTGGAGGGGAAAGTGGTAGAGGAATGGCCGGAGCCGAATTTTGGTAAAGCGAAGGATGCTGAGGAGGCTGCAAAGTACTATGTGTAGTGTCTGCGGGCGTTGAAGCGCATCACTTTTAGTCAAGCGCATAGAGAAAGCAGCCCGGGAGGACGACGCTGGGCCCACAAGGCGCAAGAAATAGCAACAGATATCTGTCCAATCTGAAGATTTTAACGGTCTCCTTCCACCACATATGTAATCCCACTGCAGGTCGATCCAGAGCCGACACAAGAAATACCTTATTCCGGATCAAACGGGCTACGTCGAGCACGTGTCCGCTTCCCGCCTTCCCACTAGTGTAGCCAGCATTTCCAAAAATGCTTGAGAAGCGACAACCGCGGAAAGCCATTTCTCACACCTCTCCAGATTTACATCTCTTCCTCTCGCTATAACCACGATACAGCTTAAACATCCATCGTACCCTCAAAGCCACGAAAGAGAGCCATGCTCGTCACAAATCCAATTCTGTTCACCTCCTCCTTGGCACTCCCACTGGCACGCCTTCACCACATCAGCGGCCACATGAAGTGATCGGCTTTCTCCGAGTTGCCGTCGAAACTGGCCTCATCGAAGCAATATCCGGAGAGAACAATTGTCCAGCTGGCCGCGCAGGTGCGTTTTGAATTCCGGCAAAGACTTCAGCGAAAGGCAATCGGTGCCCAAAATTCTGGTCGAAAAAGCAGATGCGGTTCTTCTCCAGCGACTATCTCGTCAACCATGTTTAATCCAGATGTTAGAATTCGCCGTGAGCTGACTGTCAAGATCTATAGCCGGCGGTGGCGTCTTCGATGATAGCGTACACGGCAAGCAGTCGCTCGAATTCGTCGCCTTCCAGCTCATACTCGATGTCGTCTGCCTCAAGTCCGACACTGTCTCCTCCAAGCTCATGGTCAATACCGTCTTCATCATGCTCGTATCCAATTTGATCTTCTTCGAGCTCACTCTCAGCCTCTTCTCCTTCGAACCCAGATCCGGACTCATACGAGGCCCTCTCAGTGTCCGGCAAAATCGCGAGGAAATCGTCGTCGTCCCCTGATACGAAAGCACAATAGAAGGCGCCGAAAGATATTGCCTTCCTGTTGGAAGCCTCGCTACGTGCCTTTGCAACAGATTCCAGAATGTCCAGGACTTCCTCCAGAATCTTGACAAAGTGGTAATGTTCGGCGGAAAATTGGTTGTATGTTTTCCCGGCTCTCATCGCGTTGATCTTGGCAAGTCTCGGGATAGCTTTCTTTCTCAGTTCGATGGTCAGGCGAATGACTGACAGAATGTTTGTATCTATGACAATGATCGGATCTGTAGACTGGGCGACTGAGGTGGCCAGGACCTTGTATTGCTTCTGAGAGATTGGATACGGCGACTTGGGTTTGCCAGGGGTTACGGGCACAGTGATGTTGCAGCGGTCAGCGTTTTTGCCCAGCCATGTTGAGATCTCGTTGGTGTATGCTTTATATTGCGTGTACATGTCAGATGTGGCATTCGGTGCCATGTTGTGTTGCCTGTGTGATGGGTCTGGAAGGTCCTCGGAGAGGAGTGAGAGAAGAGCTGGAAGCTAGATGGACCTCCAAGTCACGACCCGGCTTACAGCTGAGGGGAAGACCCATATTGGTATACAGGTCCTGGAGGCTAGATGAGAGTTCATCCGATATGTCAGTGAAGGAACTCCTGGCGTACTTTAAATTAAACACCCGCATTTACTTGGTACCTTAGTTCAGAGACCATGCCGGGGTGAATGTCTCTTGACCAATCGGGATCGAGCCTGAATCCCTGGTCCGGAACAGCAAGAATCGAGATCCATGCGCTCATCATTACCTTACACTTTTACGACCTGTCACGTCGATGTCTGTTACACACACACAAAAGAAGAAGCAACGACAGCGTCTCCACATCTTCTTCCTGTTCCAACTTCTGACAAGCGAGTCGATGATTCGACTCTGTGATCAATCTTCACAAGCTGAGCACGGTCTTTATGGCAACAAAAAGCACTCGTCGTATCGATGACTGTGGCTTGAGTTGCGCATGTTTGCGTCAAGGATGGAAACCGTACAGCATGTTGATCTACATCTACGAGGATCCTGGCGACGAACAGATATTGGCGCCGCGCCGCCTGTGGGGAAACCAGGGTATCCATTCTGGGTTCTCCCAAAAGTGCAGACATGCATGCTAAGTATCCGTCACTACTGACGAATATGACAGGTACAGACTCTACAGAGCTCTTCGTCTCTAACTTCCCTTCTTTCCATCCTCCAGCTTTGTTTTTACATTCACTTTTACAAAACCGCCCACCCCGGTCTTCAAGACTCAAGAAAGAATCATGGTACCCAAGCCTCTCATTGGTCGGTACAAGTTGTACAAGGCTGGAACTTCACGTTTGGTTGAATGGCTCTCCATCACCGGTGGTCGTTGCTGCGACCTAAAGAAAGTGCTCAAGTCCTTGAACAGCGGCGTGTCCACCAAAAAGCAGTCAGAAAAGAGCATCAAGGACGTTGAGGTCGGTACTCAAGAGTTGTTGAAGCTTGCTGAAGCTATCGCCAGTTCGGATTCAGTCCCGGTGCCACAGGAAATCATCGACATCACCCGGGAAGTGATCGCTGGAAGAGAAAAGTGTGCCGAATGGTATAGCGCACAGCCCTTATCAGACAATGGCAAACTGAAGAAGGAGAACATCAACCATCGCTACTTCATTCAAGTTTTACAAAAAGTACTGCGTCTGCTGCTCCAGGCCTGCGATAAACAGCCTCCTGCAGCACAGGCGACCCAGCCGAGCCGCGATGCAACGGATGCTGCAAAGAAGAAACGAAAATCTCCGCAGGAGATAAGCAGTGGGAAACTTAACAACCTCTTCAACCTCCTCCAACTCGATGAGCCATCGCCGATAATGGAAGGTGATCCGCCGCCCTCCTACCAAGAAGCAACTTCGCCTCCTCAGATGAACTTCAAACTGGTTGCCGAAGAGGATACATCTTTCGTCGTCTGGTGCTTCCTCCAAGACTTGGCTGACATTCGTGCATACGTACTGTCAACCTGGCTGGAGTACAGCAAAGGCGAAGTCAGCTTCCTGATTGCAAGCTCCGTGACGGACACTGCATTCGGTCTCATGCGATGCGCCGAGGAAGACTTTGCGAAAGACAGCACAGTTAGCCGGGCTACAGACTTCAAGTCTCTCATGAGGTACTTCAACCTACAGTACTGCGTCGCTGGCCGTGTACTGTGGATTTGCCCGGCCGCTTCTCAAAGGTCAACCAGACCTCCACCCTCTGACTTGAACATCGTGGAACTGTTATGTCCCATTGCATTTGCCTGTCTGGAGAGCTTTCGATACGACGCTACTGCTGCCTGTGCCGCAGCTGTTGGCAAGAGGTCACTTGGCAGCCGGGAAATGATCAATCCATATCATGGATTCCATGAGTTCTGTGATATTTTATATCAACTCTCACCTGAGCTACATGCATTCAGCCACGCTCCAATGTGTGATCATGTCGTCGTTGACGAGTTTGTGCAAGGACTGGCACAGCTCCATCGCGATGGAAACTTTGCCATGTGGTAAGCACTATGGATAACGTCTCCTCCGCCTTTGAGATGAGAGCGAAGAGCTAATCGTTTCGGTACTACTATCTAGGCTAGTCGTAGCGTGTCAGATATATCTTGATATATACGATATGCTTGGGCAACACATTGGCTATGGTGCTGATGCTTTACGGAAGACTTTCAAAAGAAACAAGGAGATCGGTACCGGTCTTTCCGCATACGGCTACAACAGTGGTTACCATTTTGATGATGTATGTACCAGCCGACACTCTGCTGAAGCTACCCATTGACTTCGTTTTCTCCCCAGGCGCATGAAGCTGTTCAAAAGCTCGCTTGGGTTTCCCAGGGACAGAACCGGTTCGAGAAGAACTTCTCACAGCGCTGTGGTGGCAAATGTGGCATTCCATCGTCATTGCAGACCTCCAAAGTTGTAGATGGGGTAACTGTCTCGCCCTTTGAGCAAAAGCTGCCAGCCCATGCAGGAGCGATCCTTGCAGACTTGAAGCTTGGTCTCTTAGATGCTGGCTGTACGATTGCCAATTCTGGTTCTATCGTTCTTTCGACTGCCCACCTTTACAAGGCTCTTCGTGCAATGGGTGCTCTCAAAACTGATTGGCCCGACATAGACTTCGTGCTTAGCTCCTTCAAAGCTAAGCAGCCGCTTATTACGAAGATGGGAACCTCATATGACGCAGATGCTGCAGTGAAGCGCTACCTCATGGCCCTAGGGGTAGAAGCCAAAGCTTTTGCAAGCGACGCACGACAGAATGGCAAGCTGCATGAGCCACGAAAAATCTCCATCTCATCCCCGCTTCTCCGGAGAATGGCCGATCGTCAAGCAAATCAAGGGAAGCCCGGCACGAGTGACTCCAAGAGTAGGACAGTCGAGATCGTGTTGCAGACTTTGACTCGGTCAGATGCTACGTCTGGAAAGTCCTCTGGCCTTCTGGACCACAGCTTTACGCCAGTACAGCTTTTGACGACCTTCAAGAAGGCCATCCAAAGCGAAGAGCCACTGCTCAACTTCGATTATGTGTCATTTACGGTTACATGTGCAGTTCTATTGGACGAGATAACCCGTGTTGTGAGCCCATCAGTGGGCATGACAGACTGGGCCAAGGATAAGCTTGGTACGAAGATGATTGATGAGAGCCACAGCATCAACCTGGTTGCCGGCCTACTACAATGCAAGTCGACGAGTCCGGATATCGACATTGCTGCACAAGTATTCTCTGGCTACATATCTGCGCAAGGCAGATACTTCACGCAACAAGCTTTCGACCAAAGTTCCGGCCGAATCCCAAAGGCATTACGACCAAAGATCCAGCACGATCTGACTACCACCGAGAACTCCCGTAGCCTGATGCGTACATACCTTGAGTACGCCAATGCACAATACGTGTTTTCCGGAAATGCCGTATCGGCCTACCATCGAAAGATGACACCCGCGCTCTGCATCCGAGGCTGCTCCTGCAAGCCAAGCGCAGAGCACGCCGAGCCCGTGCCAAAGCTCTTGTGCTCTTACGGTTCCGGACTTCCAGCCATCATCATCGACGAAGCCGTTGTCAACATTGAGAAGAACCCTGATAAGTTGATCTTGACAATGAATGCAGGGATACAACAACACTTTGAGGAGCACGCTCAGGGTCTCATCTCGGAGAAGTTGCTTCGCGAACGAATCAAGGGGCTGACGTTGCTCGATATCCAACCTTAGCCGACAAATCTTTCAGACGATCCGGACCTTGGCGATATCCCAGCTGTGAACAAGCCAGGCATACCATGGCTGTATGTTCTCAAGCCTGAGACTGACGAGTATAACCATTTGTGGATCGGTGGAATAGGAGGGGTTGTGCCCTATGGGCAGAAATTGACTTGGCCGGTGGAGATGATGACCTTGTCGGCACAAAAAGGACGGGGATGGATGATGAAAGCGGTTGAATTCAAAAGTCGTTATGTCACTGCCCGCGTCAATGGTTGCGCTTGACGCGGAATCATTGAATCAGAGTCATAGTGTTCAAAGCCCCTTGAACGAGATTGAAGTGATTGTATCAATCCCAACATCCCAAAGACTTTGTCGACTGCGTTGCCAGTGCGAGTTCGGTGGCATAGATCCTAGGCTAGAGAAAAAGGGGAAACCACAGTCGCTCTTACGAATGTATCAACACTAATGGCATGATATATTTGAATTCATCTCCTAAGTCTCATCAACCTCGATGATCCAAGTATCGCTATGTCTTACCAGCGGAAGACTGTTCTCTTCAATCCTGTCCTGTATAGATCGAGATCAGGATTGCCAAGTCCGGGTGAAATTCGGGTGAATCACATGAAGGTGCTGCTTTCCCTTCACAACGAAGTGGTGGCAAGAAAATCGCATCCTTTGGACCGGGAGAATATCTTGATTGAGGAATTATAGAGGCTGCAATTTGTGTTCGTTGAGAGTGGTGTCATATGTCACCGCTGTCGCCGGAAATATAACATTGCTTCAAATTTGGACTTCCACTTTTGCTGGAATTGAAATGTGCCGATAACGACAACAATTACGACAGCTCTTCGCCTCGGCCCACCACCCAGCGGATCTAAACTCCTACAGGGAAGAAACTGTTTCTTTCTTCCCGCCACTCAAGGAGATTTGCCGAGATCAAACATTCTAGAGGCAACATCTGGACATGTGAACGCCTTCAAGATCTTCCGGCGGAGAAAGGGGGGAAATCATCGAAGACGCACAAGTGATCATACTCAACACTTTGCCTACAACGCTTTCGGCGGTCAAGTCTACCCCGGTCAGAATTACTCGATCTGTTGGTTTGCGGTTTGCACCGAGACCTTCTACAGCGTATTGCTCACAAGAAGACTGGGGCGCCTGGACGGGGAGAATGTAAACCATCGGAGCCATTCCATCGTGGGTTGGAGATGCTGTTGGTGCAACCATCATTTTCCTTTGGACCGTGTTCGTACTTCCTCATTATGCCTCGAGAGCGCCACCTCTCTTGTGATCTCCTACAGTTCAATATATGAGGAACACTGCAGAGCCTTGTCCCAGACGTCGATACAAGCGCTGGCATGCCCGCCGCAAGCGACACCAGCGAAAGCTTGAGATTTTTGAAATAGACGTGTGTCATAGCCTGCGCTTGAGAATGAGGGACGCTACAGTTACAACGRCGGAGCCGGAGGAGCTGGGTGCTAGTAGACCCGACAAGGGAGATATGAAGGAGATTTCATAAGGGAGTCGGGTGACGGTGCGACACAGCTGGAAGTGGAGAAGATACTGATGATTTGATGCTGGAAAAACCTTGCCCACAGTCTCATGCATGCTCAGATTTGCTGTGAATACGGACTCGAAGCGAATGCCGTACCGTGTTCACGGATACTGGTCGAGAGATATGAGCAATTGACTGTGGGAATTATACAAAGGCAATTACTGCTGTGGCCGATAATTCACCGCCCGACTTAGCTGATCAGAGCCACCCAACTAGACACAGACAGCCATCGTTGGCATACTACTAAATTTATTCTCACGGGTAGTTTGCTGCGTACTGCAGCGTAGCTGAGAGTGGTTTCCTGGTTCAGACATGCCTTGAGCCAACTGAGCAGATCAAATTGCTTCAAGCCTATTATCCAAATCGATCCCTTCGATCAAGCTCATTATTCGTAGTCTCGATTCTTCCAATGATCCAAATACTTGGAGCTGGATTGACAAAGAAAGCTCACTCCTGGAAACAWCTACGTTTATCTCCAAATTCCCATTGAAAATTGGAAGCAAACTCACCCCCTGAATCTATTTACTCTTCGTTCATCCCTATAAATGTAAATCACCATATCCAAAACAACTCTACTCTCATCATCAATCATCCTAACCCCCAAAGATGAACGAACCCACCAACCCCACAATCCCAACAACCCCTCCAGCAGACTTCCAATCCACCATCAGAATCCTAATTCCCTCCTTCCACCCCGGCTTAATATTCGACATCAACAACACCCAAACATGGCATTTAAAACACTTCAAAATGACAGTCCTCGGCTCTCAAAAAAGTTGAAGAGATCAGAGCCAGAATCTTCGACCACTATGGCTTTTGGGGTCCGTATGAGTGGTGGTTTGAGAGGGATAAGAATTATGTGTTTGATTCTACTTTGATTTCCGAGGTAAGTATGCTTTGTCTTTGTGGGGGGGGGGGGGTTTTTTTTTTTTTTTTTTTTGGCTTTGGGCTAATTATTTGGCTGGAAGATCCCGCTTATCTCGAGCGAAGACGATTTTGCGTGGTTTGTGATTCCGAAGGCTCATGATATACGTGCACGACTTGTGTGTAATTACATGTGCAATCACGGCCTGCTGTAATTGCACTGTCGGTAGTGGAGCTTGACATAGTTTCATTGCAGAAATACAGTGGAGGGCGAAAGGTTGTTGTGTTTGTGCTGCTTTTGATGGGTTGCTTTCAGCTCGCGAGTTTAGAGATATGTGTGCCAGAAGCATACTGATGTTTATCGCAGTATCTACTATCGAGAATATGACTAGAATTGAACGCATTTTGCAAACAAAGATGAATAACGTAGGCCTCGTCGTTGTGAGACGCCGACCCCCTGACAGCCACACCCAAACGTGGCATTGTCATACCGGCCAATTGTTATACATTCTATGACAGCCCCTACAAACCTTAAATCACCTTTAGTGATAACCACCACGGCCAACGTAGTACTCGTAATCCATCATGTCAATCGCAGTATATGGATTTGAGAAATTAGAGCCTTCACGCATTCCGTCCGAAAGATCTTGCGGAATTCAGATTTCCTTCTGGAAAGCMCTATTGATGTGCCGTACGCCATTAAGAGAAAGAAGAGGTTTAGATCTTGGGATGTTCCTTGGCGAAGAACTTTTTTGCATTGGAACTCTATTAGTCCTCCTTCGATGGCTTTAGCCTATGTATCGTTGATTGAGTATGTGAGATTTTTCATGTGGAAGATGATGTGGGAAGTGGCGTATGCCTTTGTTCATGACATGATGCTGATTTGTTCTTGTACCATGTGGCGCCGGCGGGGAAATGATGCTTTTTTTTTTTTTGCTACGGTGGGTATGATGTGGACGTAGGTGTTGATTTGGGAAGAGGGGATTGTTAGCTGTTGAGTTCAGAAGTTGATCGTGTCTTGACATGGCTTTATCGTTGTGATGAGTAGATCCGTAGTATCATGAAGACATTTCAGGATGACTTACAGCGAAACCCTGAACCCCAAGGACGGATCTCTCAACAAGCGGAACCTCGCGAACTTCTTCAAGCATTGTAGCAGTCGGTGGCTTAGAAGTTCGACATCGTGCGACTTGCGACGCAGATGTGCACACGACCGCAAACCCGAAAAAAGCACTTGAAAACTTCATGCTTTAACCTAGAACGCTTTCTCAAGACCTTTAAAAAATGAAAAGACGGTCCCTCGTGGGCGACATTCTGTCTTTTTTATGCTTAGTATTCTTCTGTGAATAATCAACCGAACAAAGCTATAAGAGACGTTCACGACCTCCTGGACTACGTATATTGAGCCACGAATTATCGTGTCTGGCATTTCAATATTAAAGGCGTGTCGATCTTATATTGTTGTCGGCCTGGGCAATGTAACCATGTCTCGGTCGTGGTAGTTCTGTTTCTTGCGTTAGTCACCTTGAATCTTCGAATGAGACTGTTCTGTCTTCTTTAAGTCAAACTCCTTGGGCATATAGTACGTCACGATGTCTCAAGCAATCAAGCAGAGCTTACACCTATCCAGCTAGGTATAAGACCACATAGCGGACTATTTCAAATGTGAAACAGACCAAGGAATCAGGTGGCGGATAGGTTTGCATGGAACTTTATGTGCTAAAAGTGGCGTGAAAAAGCTCAATTAACGCCATTTAGTCGCTGCACTGGAGATGATATTGAAGCTCTCTCTCTCCGTCGACGGCAGTAGTCCTGTAGATCGAATAGAGCTTCTAACCACGTAGTCGTCGTAACGCCTTTTGAGATTGCTCAGAGAAAAGGACAAGGAAGGCGAGCGATTTCATAGAATCTTGCCAGTAGTACTCGACGAAATATAATCTCACTTCTACTCTACTACGCCATAAATACAGAAACACCACCTCAAAGCGGCTTCTCATCCCCGCGCCCGAGCAAAAACGCGTCCCAAGCAACAAGCTTGGCCCAATCTGCGCTGAATTCCGCCAAAATCACCGCACGCATGATAATGGACACTTGGTAGCAACCCGGGTCGGCGACTTCCAAGTAGAACTTGTCCTTGTCTTCCTGGCGGGGCAGCGTAGCGAGGATGACATGGTAGGCGTTGCGAAGCGTGGTGAGAGCTTCGGCTTCTCTCGCTACGCGCTCGCGGTTGCTTTGATCTATAGGTTTGTTAGTCTGGCTATATTCTGGGTGGATTTGTTGGAGGCTGGACTGACCGAAAAGGTTGATGAAGTCCAGGTATTCGCGGAGATGCTCTTGCATGCGTGGGTAGTACTGTGGATCGTAACGGTCCACTAAGCGTGGGACGAATTTTGTCTAGGGACCGTCGAGTCAGCGAATGGATTGATGGAATTAGACGAATGTCATCGTTGGATTGAATTACAAGGTCGAAGCCAATGTAGTAGTCGGCCTCCGCGTTGCCGCTGTTGCTAGCCATCTTGATGTTGTGTGGTTGTTTTGGATGGAGTAAGGGGGGCAAAGTGGTAGCGGAGCGAGACGGTGTGTGGCTGGGATGGACGTGTTGATGCGGCGCTATGCGTGTGTGTGATGTTGTTGTTGATGAAAGAAATGCACGGAGGAAGCTGAAGCAGAAAAATAAAATACACTCGCGTCTCGCGCTAGCGCGGACTTGTATGCGGATAGCTAGGCAACGCGATTGTGCAAAGACGGGGACAGACAGGATCACTTTGTACCGTATGTAAATCTTGATATTGATCTCAGTGCTCATTCAATGCCCGTTGAACTTCTATTTATTGCCTGGCATGCTTTTCTATCGGGCACTACGGACAGCAGAAACTAGAACTCTCCTCGTCAATCACAGCGAGAGGTAGTAGCTGAAGACCGGCCATACGAGTACACGACGTAGCAGGCCATGGGGATCGTATGATCAGCTGCCATCACCGAGGCGCAAAGACTTACAAGAGGAATGCGGTGATAGACCCCCAGAAGCCAACGGCCACTGCGTCGCTTTGTCTCTTCATCTCTCTACCATTCTGATCCAATCTCTCTGCCGTAGTTCCTAATTCCAAAACATCCCACACAGACACCCCATGCGCGTCTATATTCTGCTTCGTAGTGCAAAACTCTGGCAGTCGTTCCATGTATGGCGCCAGGTACTTCGTGTTTCGCGTCGCCTCATCTCCTCCTCCTCCTCATTTTGCGCGCCCCACATCCGAGTCAAGGCCATACCGCCTCCTCTTCGTGACCATCGTTACAAGTCTTCGCTTTCCATAAGTAGGAGTTGCCACCATCTGCTACGCCATTCTCTATGAGTTTAATCAGAATAACGCTTCCAAACCTCGATAACGATCGACTTACAGGCAAAGACCATACACGATGCCGCCTCGTAGTCAGACTCGGCAYTAATCCAATAGCGTAATGGCCGTATGAAAATGAGTCTTTGCTAAGAAGTTGATTGCTGTTTGATGAGCGCTTGGGTCTATTATTCGCTGTTGGGGAATTAAATCGTATCTGGTGAATGTTTAGAGGTCTGGAATCGTCTCTGAGTTCGATGCTCTAGGCAAAAATCTCTACCAGTTACAACCACACCAAACAATTCTGTCGATTCTTAGCCTAGTACAGTCCTGCTACCAATCAGAGAGTATTAAAGGCATCCTAGGCGTCAATCTTAGGAACTGGCCTGTACGATTCGTAAAAAGACATGAGGTAAACATTACATTCCAGCATTTGCGCTMAAGTTTGTCCTTTGGAAGAAGAAGATCACCGCAGCGACCCCAACAACCCGCGACATTCGGGAACAAGACGGCGAGACCCCCGCAAAGGTCAAGGGCAAGGGAAAGAAAAGGCCGTCGCTGAAGCGGAACCGTAGGACGAAGAACGATGGATGGCACGAGAGAAGTACGTTACTCTGTAGAGTAAAGTAACCTCAATAAACTTGTTGCCAAAGACCGGTCACCAATCGGGAGCTGATCCAAGAGCTAGCTGCTCGGTACGAAGACAAAAGWCTCACTCAAAATTGATATCTACTAGAAGATGTAGACCTTGCTAGGCTGAAGGAAACTAGTAGTAACGAATCCCCTCCGTAGCTTAGAGAGATAATTTGTGGAATTAGCGGCGTATAGCTTTTAAGGTTCTTAGGGAAGTCTCCTTTATACTACGTCGATTCTAAAGCCTACTACTAGTCCGGAATCCATATCTTCCGCTAACTAGTAGGGCATCATGCTAGGTCAAATATACCTAGCCGGTTCAATTGAAAGCTTTGCTAAGAGTGACAAAAAAGGATTAAAGGGGCATTTTTTGAAGACGGAATAATGGTGTTGACTTTTCCTCCTGCGGGAGGGGGATGAAATCCCAAATCAACGCCCATTTTGCATCTCAATAATTTCAATGCTCTTTCATGACATGCATCCGACAATGCCAAGTTCTGCGAATCTAGACGCATCAAAGCCATAATTGCTCAGGGGAATGAAGATCCAATCACATGTCAGCGGAGACAGCTCCGCTCAGCCCTATGCATTCGCCGCATCCAGTACGTCACGATCTACCAAGTATTTTGGTTTCCCTACCAAATGCGCATATTCATAGCATGGAGCCTCCTGATCCGTTGAAAGCGCTAGCGGTGCAGCCAGCTGTAAGTAATGCTGCTACAACTTGTCTGGTTCACGGTATAGCTGACACTTGACGATTTCTGGCAGTGCGACAACTGCAGGAGGAGAAAGACACGATGTGACCGTGAAACTCCCTGTGCTCCGTGCAAGGCTGCAAATCTCTGTAAGGCATCATTGGCTAGTTGGTGAGGATTGAAGATTAATAGAGGAATCCAGCTTGCCAGACCGAATCGGCACGTTCGAAGATCCACACTCGCCGTATCCAAGTTTCCAAGAAATAGTAGGGTGCCCTCCCACTTCTTCGACACATTTCTACTCACATATAATTGGCAGTGAAGACAAAATMGACAGCATCGATTCCAGCGTGCTGAGTATTCATCAACGACTGGCCAATATCGAGCATTTACTCCGACAATCCAATGTTGCTGCTCCATCATCATCATCATCATCATCGCAAACACCCATTTCTCCAACCACAACACGCACCGTCAAGACTCCCATTGACAATGCTGTTGTTGCCGTCAATCTCTCCGTGTCAGAGGATAATTCCAGCTCTGATAAGCCCGCTCCAGGATACAACGACGCCAATGTGGAACTCACGGCAGCCACCTACTTTCTCGAGCAAGCTATTGGTCGGGATCCTGTCCTCACAAGCGATCAGGAGCTTCGTTTGGCATTGAATGCATTACGTGCCGTCATTGACCACAGTGTTGCCGGCGATGATGCTGACGCTGGTAGCAAAAGTGGCACCGAGCATACTCCTCCGAATGTCGTCCTTCCCGGATGGGAGCAAGTACGAGACATTTTACAGAAAGCAGAAGGTCGGTTTAATATCCACATCATCTTCATCACGACTCCTACTAAAACCCAACATTAGGCATGAAACCTATGTTATTCAACTTGTACTCGGATGTAATGTTTGACAATTTCCGTCACAAATGCCGACAAATCTATGAATTTGGCCAAGAAGGCTCACCAAGCGACGAGCTGCTCGTCTACTCGGGCTTGTCGAATATCTGTGCTGAGTTTACTGATAACACCAGTGATACGCTTGCTTCTTACAATCACAGTCTCTACCACTCCTTTTCCTGGTTGTTATTAAAGACTTTGGCAGACTTTCCATTGATCGTCCCGGCGTCTATAGAGACGTTGGAGGCTCTGTTACTTGCTGTGAGTATGACTTCCGGGTATTGGGTTTGTGAGTACAAAGACTGACGATCCAACACCAGTCAATGACAATGATCTCCTTGTGCAAGCCATCTTTGGCGTGGTCCTTGATCCACAAAGCCGCACAAATGTCCCAAAAGTTAGGGTTGAACCGTCTCAATCCAGTCACATGCAGTTTCGACCCTCAATACGATCGCAAGGTGAGTGAAGTCCTCAATCCCTCCCCTCCGAGAAGTCAAACATTAGTTAACACAAGCAAGGTCCTCCTCTTCTGGGCCATATACGCCATCGACCGCAACATATCCTTCCGTCTGGGTCAAACACCCACAATTCAAGACTTCGACATCAGCACATCCCTAATCCTCAACAACGACTCTCGACACCCCTCAGTCCGAGAATTGATGAATTTCTGGATAGACTGCGGCCGAGTGCAAGGGAAAATTTGCACGCAGCTTTACACTCCCGCGGCATTCTCCATGACAGATGAAGAGCGAGCTCAAACAGCACAGAGTCTCGCGGATGAAGTAACACAGACATATCAACGCAAACATAAATCCAATGCGGCGATGATGTCGGCAGCTTTGGGAGGCAAGAATCAACGGACTTTTCATACGGATGCGTGGATGCATAGTGATGGGATAGATTTCTACAGTACATTGTACGCAGCAGCACCCATCCACAAATATACAACAAAATCCCGAAAGAATTGCTAATATTGAAAAAAAAAAAAATAGATCAACAGCTTTATACGCCCTCCCCCCCTCCCTCCCCTCAGGCCACGCAAAAGCCCTAAACGCAGCCCGTAAATCCCTCCAACTAAGTCGCGATCTCAGCAATCGTTACTTTCACAATGTCTACAATTGGACGACTTGTTGTCATTGGGTATTACTCAAAGGACCTCTTATCAGCTGCTTCACCGCCGTGCTCTCCAATGCTATTATTGGAGATGGTGTCTCTTCTTCTTCTTCCTCATCTCAAGAAGATATTCAATTATTGGAAGACTTTGTCATTTCTCTTGAAGCTGCGAGGAGATTTTCGGGGGCTATTGAGAAATTCTATCGGATTTGTGGGGGTTTTGTTGGAGTTGCTAGGGCGTGGGTGAGGGCGAAAACAAAACATCATCGGACTACGGAAGATAATGGAGATTTCTCCTCCGATTTGCAGCAGGCTTTGGGGACGGGGTTTGTTGGGTCTCAAGGTCTTTCCAATAGGTCTATTGGTCAGACTGTGGATGCTGCTACCTCCTCGTCATCCCAACAGGAAACGGAGCAATCTTTTGATATGTCTCAGACTTTTCAAGATTGGTATGCGGGGAATGCTACGCTTTATGGGCTTTTGGAGCAGGATATGGATCTTGATTGGTTTGCTGAGAGTTGAAATAATAAACCATACAAAATAAGCTATATGACTCAACTCTTGATGAAGAGTATATCTCATATGCTGAAAGAGAACTTGCGATTGGATGTTCAGATACTAGGTTTGGATGAAATCATGTTATTGTGCGTTTACTCGACGATTACAAGGGACGCTAGGCAAGTCTCCATTCCTACTGGGAGCTTCTCATCGACTCCTCCTACTTATACTCCTCGACAATAACAAACACCTCAAATCGCGCACAAGCTCTTAGCCTACACACCCTAGACCTACGTACCTTCCTCTATTCATCTCAAGTCCTTAACAACAACAATAGATTTTCCAACCAACAACATCGCCAATCTGATCGAGAAATACTTACTCCCTAGTTAATAGCTCCGACTCCTTGGCTTATACCTACCCCAGCTTATTGGTCAAAGAAGTCGTTATCGCTGCTACAAGGATCAAAGTCTCCGCCATATCAGACCTGATTGAAACACAAAAAAACACCCACCTCAAACCTCTTTTAGAATCTATAAGAAGTCTCTCTAGTAAGCGCACTCTTATCCGACGAAAAACCACGAAAAGATCTCCAAGAAATGAATGTTAGGTGTAACTTATCCCTTATAGTAGTGTTCGCAACCATGATTCTCCACCTGAGCTAATAGGGCATTGGCGTAGAATACTGATTACCAGCAACCACTCGTCATTTTCGCATAGCACCACCTATCTAGAGGAAGTCATTCGTTTCGGAGATTCCAGTATGCGGGAATTTGTGAAAGTTAACAAGTGTTCCGATGAATTGTATAAGGCGGAGAAGGCGACCGAAAACGAGTTGATATCTCGGTCGTTTAGGGGCGTCGAGATCTTAAAGGAGAGGACAATGTCATTCATTGTTGTTAGTGCTTCGAAGGACGTGTATACCTACCTGCCGTAAGAAATACAAAATCGATGAAATTGTACTAAGGTGCACGGTTATTATCAATGGTTTCTTCATCAAAGTTTAGATCAGATGAGTCTTTTTTCCATCTAATCTTCTACCAATACTACGCAATTATCTCAACAAAAATCTGTCGAGAGCAGTAAAGTCCGCCTTTCGGAATGTAGCAGCGTCCCAACTAAAAGGCGTCTTTGGCACTGATCTCGTTTCATTTCCCTTACTTTGCTTTTGGTCATATGATGATCAGTGACAAGTATGCTCCATCAAAGTGATATTAAATCTGCCCTCACTTTGGTGTTATGTCACATAGTATCGACATTGGTACACGACCCCAGCCCTAACCCTAACGCGGACTTTTGGGGAAGCAGGGAATGGAAAAGGGGCGACCTCTCGTTCCATATATACCGTGATTTGAGTAGAAGAGGAATACAGCGAAATCTTCTCCTTTCCCTCCTTCAATTCTCCTCAAAAGTACAAAAGCGTAGGTAAACTCGCCACTCCAATCCACCTTCAATCCTCCAAAAGAACCCAGGATCCCCTTCGCTAAACCCCCAAACGCACAAATCAAGTCATGAATCCATCAAAAGCCTCCCCTCATCTACTCCCTCAGCCTCTCTACAGCATCATACTCCTCCGCCTCCCTGCAGCGGGAACTCCTCTCCCAGTCTCCACTTTAGAAACCGCACCAACCATCTTCACTCCGCCAACATCCTTGAGCACGCTAGAATGTCTTCTTCCCTTTCCCACTCCGACGCTCCCCGTCAAAGCAGTAGCAGGCGATGATCCTCCACTCTCATCGTCTTTGAAATCGTAAAGATCCATTTCAGCCAACTTCTCCGCCGCGGCTTCGACTGTTGCAGGAGGAATGCTGGATGCGGAAGAAGTCCTCATAGCTTCTCGCTTCTTGCGACTTTCTGCCGCCGTCATACTTTCTCTCCGCTTCGCCTGCGCAACAACAATCTTATCATCTGCCAACTCCGGAGAAGTGGAAGAAGTGGCTGAAGTAGAGGAAGTAGCCGACGTGCTCTTCTCTCGCAATGGACTCCCCTCCTTCGCCCACTCGTCTTCATCTACCGGCTCCACTTTGATCACAACTTCTTTTTTGGTGGCATCAGCACTGCTCCTCCTCGCGGTAGGCAATCCACTGATCGCATCGACCATTCCCTTCCCCGGTCTTCGCATTTTTGCAACCAGACTGGGTTCGGCATAGTTGACACTACTCCTCGCTCTCCGACTCGGTCTCGCATCAGTGGTGGTATTACTCAAGGAGCTGAGGTCCGAAGGAGGAGGGGTGTCCCTGTTCATCGGTGCGGCCGGTTGAGAAGCAGAGGTCGTTGAGGGAGAGAAAGGGTCGTCTAAAGGCGGAGCGGGTGTTTTAGGTGGGTGAGAGTTCTCGGTCGGCGGGACTTCAATGGAGGTCACGGCTGATTGTACATCAGAAACTTGTGGTGCAGAGGATGTCCTTCTTCCGCGCGCAGGCGGGCGGACGGTGGATTGCGAGCGAGACGCAGATCTAGGTTTGCTGGGCTCCTCTTTTTGAGTCTTTGCGGATTTGACAGGAGCGGACTTGCGAGGCGACATGTTGACGCTCTTGTCTCCCAACACTCTCCTGGTAGATCTGGCTGGTGATGTTGGAGCTTTGACGGGTTCGCTGGAAGCCCTCTCGTCCACTGTCTCTTGACTCCCATTCTCTTGCTGCTGCTCCAGAACGGGCTTCCGAGTGAAGGCAAAGTCATCCTTTTTGCTCGCCCTATCGCCTTCACGATCGGCTAACTTCCTCTTCGCGCCTGTTCGCAGCATGGAAGTCGCCGCGGGTTCCACATCGAGCTTCACAGGTGATAAAGCGAGGATGGAACTCCGCCGCATCTCCCGCTCACTCAGGCCATCCTTTCTTCGCCGCCTGGTCTCCAGATTTACGCTCGGAAGCAAAGCCTCCTCAACACTGCCACCTTTCCCCTCTTCGTACTCGAATCTCGCAACAGGTGGAGGGCCGAGATCTGGGCTTCCCGTCGCACCACTTCCGTCGGAGATTCTGATTGCGCGGATCTCATTCGCATCCATCGTCTGTCGCGGATACGACCTGCCTTCATTGATTGTCGGCATTTGGCTGTCCCGCATCAACTCTGCCAGCGGTTGTCGCTCCCGATACTGCTGGTGACTGGGACTCAGCACTCTTTCCACTTCCATCACTGCCGGGAATTCGTCCTCCTCGTCTTCATCATTGTTGATCCCCGCGACCAACCCGCTCAACTCATCCAACTTCCTCTTCAATTCCCTCATGACACCCCCATTCTGTCGTCCCTCGCCCTTCCTCAGACGGTGCTCCAACCTCAAACTTCCTTCTCTGAGTTCCAAATTCTGCGCCAAAAGTTTCGACACTTGCGCCTCCAGTCCGCGGATCTTCAGCGACTGCGCTGAATTGTTTTTTGCCAGTTCCCGATTCTGGCGGATAAATCTTCGCTTGACTTCGGCAATGTCAGTTGCTGCTGCTCTATCACTCGCGGGGCGCGGCTTTGTACGCATCGCCGTGAAGRAGGTTGTGTTTGGACATGGGCATAACTTACGCGCTTCAAGACTTTCCGCGGGCGGGATGCTGGAGATGGAAGGTGCAGGTGCAATCGGTGGCTCGTTTAGTCGCGCCATTGAATCGTCATACTATGATCGAGGAAAGTGCGTCTGGTGGGATGTCTCGAGGCAGGTGCGTGTGTGTGCTTTGGTTCGGATGTTACTGCCGTTTGTTAAATCTTGCGATGATGTTCGTTCGCGCCTGCGTTTGTTGATACGTCGGAAAATAGACACGGGCGATCCCGCGACATGGCAACAGCCGAAGTCCCGGTCGATCGCTCTGCTTCAACTTTCTCCACTTCTGCAACATCGATCCCTCCCAACTGCTTCGCATTGTTTCAATTTCGCTGACAGTGCACAAGTTACGGGTACTGTTACTTGTGCATAACATCTAAACATGATACTGCATGGCGACAAGCACAACCAGCGTTCAGAGACTCGGCGAACGCGCCCTCAGGTACGACGACCGCGACCACGACATCATCATCATCATTCCACTGCATGATTGCATCGAGGGCGGAATGGTTTTAGGTCTAGGTCATTACCGTTTCCTAYTCWCTCCATCTCTTGCAAGAAAGATGGCGGCTGCCTCATCACTATCCGCTCTTCCATCCATTCAAACGACCGCCGGATCTTCTTTCTAGCAGATGTCTTGCGCGGCATCTCCTGTCAACACCCACGTCGTGTTTTCTCCACACGGGCTCTCCCTCACACTCGTCCCATCAACCCTCAATCTCACCTCAACATCCCGATTGTTCTCAAACTCGTCCCTTGCCGACAGCCTCACCTCCCCGCCCCCATTCACCGTCCCTCCCAAGATGGCAAAGTTATAGCAGTTCTCAATCAACACCGCGTTCCCACCATTKTCCGCCAAATCGACCTCTGCAATATCCGTTCCTCCACTCTCACTCACACAAAATACACCTCTCCCTCCACCGCGCGAATATACCCGATCGATGAACACATTCGTCTCATACCCTCCATTTGCATCCATTCCGTTTTGATTTGCGAAACGCAATGTCGCGTATCCCGTTCCTGTACCAGCGTTCACCCCCTCAACATAACCCACCCTGACATCCCGACTTGCCTGGATCAGCAAACCACACTCTCCAACGTCCGTAGCAATCACTTCTCCAATTTCTAACCCATCAATGTTCCACACTTCAACCGCATGACTACCTGCTCCGGTGATGGTAACACTCCTCATCGTAACATTCGTGTTCCTCTCTGCATCACGGTCGAAGCGGATCCCCAAGCCGCCAGAAAGATCCATTGTAACATTCCCCAATCGCAGATTCGTTGTCCCAGAGAACCTCAGTCCGAAATACGGATTGCCAGTCATACTCAGATAAGGAATTTGAACATCAGTGGTACCGATGGATTCGATCGAGCCCCGGGCAGCAGCAGTCTCAACCTCGATGACTCCGCAGACTTCGAAGATGACATTGGATGGAATACTCAGTGTTCCGGATCCGATGCTCCAGGACGCGAGGACGGAGATTCTTTCGCCGCTACTCGCAGAATCAAGGGCGGTTTGGATTGCAAGTAGGTAGTTGGAACCTGTGTAGATTTCCTCGGAGTTTAGAGTGGTGGTGAACGAGCCTGATGATGGAGAATCTACGATCGCGGCAGGAGTTCCAGAACCGCACTGTGCGTTACTGAGGACTGGGGAGAGGGAGAGTAGGAACGCCGCGATGAGATGAGTTGAAGGCTGCATTTTCATGTGCTTTGCTCGGCGCTGGACGTCGACACTTTTTGCGGAGCTTCTTGAGTGTTTGGAGGAAAAGAAGGAGTTYGCAGTCGACTTAGTGCTGTCGGCGGATCTTCGCGTCAACTTGTTTGGGGCAAGCTCACTGCTTTATGTGGCAGCTTACGGGTATCGCTCCTCTTTTAGACGAGGGTTCTGACAGCACGAGACGCTGGGCACTATACCTCTCACACTGGGCAGCAGACCGAGGAAACGACCAAGACCTTGGCGCCTGCTTTCTCTTGACGATACAATACTCATCCGTAACTTACTCGTTCTCTTCCGAGGAGTGCCTCTTAAAGTTCCTCTCCAAAGACGATGCATCTGACGCAGCGCAGAAATTGTACACTGTCTTCTACACTTTGCCTAAACTCAACGACGCTCGCTGCCATGTCTATTGCGCTTTCATATTCGCAAGCATCTTGGAAAACAAATCATACGTTAGAAGGCGTCGTTGTATAATGAAACAGCACATCGAACCATATAAAACATCAAGTCGATGAAAGATCTACAAGAATTGAGAGACATACCCATCATCATCAACCATCATTGCCTATTTTGGACATTGCAGCAGGGGACTTAGCTTTTTTGTGGAGCACCATCAACACCCKWYKTYWYTYMA